CTTTCATGTATGGGTAATAAAAACAATTTGTTACCAGCGAGTCGCACTCATTAAATCTGCGTTACATCCAATAATTCCAATGTTGGTTGATATTATTGAACGCAGTTTGTTCTGCCATGCAAAAAATACTAATTGGATCGCGTTGCCAAGGCTGTTGAATAGTTCCAGGGAACGAAATTATTACAAATAAATTATGAAAATTGCCGGAAGCCATCAAAGTATGTCTTTCCGAATTGCAAAGTGAGTAGTTGCGAATTTAAGAAGGAAATCAGGCAAGACGTCGCTTCGCTTATTAAATAAACAGAAGTTGGCCGGGTCCTTCAGTTCCGAAGTTAAAGCCAAGACTTTTCGTGTTACAAAGTGATATGATGATTAGGTTAAATGGTGAAGAATAATACCTCGTTAGACATTCATTGAAAACTTTCAACTCGTTCCATTTTGTTGGCAAAACGATTTGAGCTTTTCTAATTTAATGTTCTCTGTGGAAGTTGGAAGAGTCGTTCGTGGTCGGGGTATCCCCTTCAAATTATCTAACGGCTTTAATTAACTCTTCTTGTTTATTTCTTATTTCCACTTTGATACGTATCAAAAAAAGCAGATCTTCACTTGCAATTGCGACTCTAATTAAATTGTTCGAACGAGTGACACACAAAACCGGTAACATCTCTGCGTTTATTCTTTGAAATCAAAAGCATAATTCGGCTAATGAAAGTGGCTTTTGATGTACGCATAACGGAAGTTTCCTCTTGATTAGATATGAAAGGAAGCAGGAGAGGTAGACAAACATTTTAATAAATTCTCCGAGAGCGAGTAAATAAATTAAGAAACGATTACGAAAAATTCAGAAGGAATAGATAAAAACGCTGATTTTTCAACAGTAGCTACATTCTTTGTATCAATGTAACGGATCGCCTGTCAAAGACAGAGATATTACAGCAGGCCGCTGGCTGGTTTTTAAGACTCCACTCTATCATATTGCATATAGATAGGGTAGTAATAAGAATATCGAGTTTAACGGCTGACGCTCGTCTTTTCCAAATCTGGATATTTTTATGTTCCGGTCTGAGTCTGATGAGATATCTGACAGTTTTTTTCTTCTTCTCCTCATATTGATTGGTTTTTCTGATTGGATTTTGATTTATGGACTTGTTTTAGATTCCTCGCCGATTCCATTCCAAATAAAGAGTCTCTGATTGAAAAAGTGAATTTATAGAGGTCCCGACCTTTAAATTATTTTTCACTTACCACCATAGAGAAAAATTATTTTCGACAGATAACGTCATCCACTCAAACTTTTTTACGGTATTATTAGATCATGTTACCATCAAAAACTTTTTTTAAAAAAACAACGAAACTACTCATAAATAATGCAGCTTGAAACGTAATTCATTCTTTTCTCGAGATTCTGCGATATTAATCTATAACTAAAACTTTTATTTAAAGCCACTTTATTTACTTTACACACATTTTTCTTTTTAAACTTTGAGTTGAATAATTAAGGCTACAGTGTTTGTACCTACTTGAAGAAAATTTTGTGTTGGCAGAAATGCACCTCTCCACCATCTCGCGGAGAAATTGCAAAGCGGAAACCAGCCGCGCGAATTGAGTGTAGCTTTCTGTGCTAACAAACTTGATCTTCCAGATCCCTAACATAATTAACACACAATTTAAAATTGTTTCTCATTTTTCTCAAATGAAACAAACGGTCTTTAGTAGAGTACAAAATGTTATTTCTAGACCAGGACATTTGGCGTCTTAAAAATCAAGACAGAATCTTACAAATTTAGCTTTTTTCCCAAAAGTCAACAAAAGCCTAAAACCTCTCAAAAATCATTAATTTTTATCCACCCCAAAAGTACCCAAATATGTGTAGACCAAATCCATGAAATAAGCCCACGCGTAAAATGCGCACAAGAAAAAAGCTCACACTGAAAAATACTCATACGGAAAAAAACTCACACAGAAATAAGCCCACATAGAAAAAAACGCACTGAGAAAACACCTCACATGGAAACAACCCTACATAGAGAAAAACCTACACAGAAAAAAAAACCTCAAAGAAATAAGCCCACTTAGAAAAAAACGAACAATGAAAAAATCCCACCCAGAAAAAAACTCAACAAAAGCCTAAAACCTCTCAAAAATCATTAATATTTATCCACCCCAAAAGTACTCAAATATGTGTAGACCGAATCCATGAAATAAGCCCACGCGTAAAATGCGCACAAAAAAAAGCTCACACTGAAAAATACTCATACGGAAAAAAACTCACACAGAAATAAGCCCACATAGAAAACGCACTGAGAAAACACCCCCACATAGAGAAAAACCTACACAGAAAAAAAAACCCTCAAAGAAATAAGCCTACTTAGAAAAAAACGCACAATGAATAAATCCCACCCAGAAAAAAACTCATATGAATAAAAGCCCAATCGTCAAAAAGCTCACGAGAAAAAAGCTCACAGAAAATTCACAGGGAAAAAACAATCTCTGTTGTCGTGGATGAATTTATAATCGATCAGACACCAGGTGGATCTCAGGTGGATCCTCTGCTCTACCATCTAACCCTAACAGTGGTTTTGAAATACATTTTATTACGACGCCAGTGGACAATATTTTTTTTTAATAGTAAACATACTTTTAAAGTCAATATTCAGTCATTTTTGACAACGTCAGTTCGCCACCAAATTTGGAACAAGCTCTGCCTCTTATTCTTTTGCGGCTGTGACTCAATGTAATTAGCTTTGTTAACAAAGTAACGCGCACAACAACCAAATTTAACATTTTTGTACTGTCACTACGAAAAACATCGTATTCAGGTAACTAACTTGATAATAACTAAAGAAAGTTTGGTGAAACTACTGAAACAATTTTTATTTAATAAATAAAGAAAAAATATTGTTCATATAATTATGTCTGACGATTTATTTATCTTTGGTGAAACTGACAATAAGTATTGTATAAAATTTTGTGTGCCCCAAGCCGTCGTCCCCTGTTTTATAATGTTAAATAGCACACTATCTACTTTTTCTAAAAAATTTGATTACCCAAATATCTCAGAAACTATAGAATATACCTACCAAAAATAAATATCGATTTTTGAAGTCGTTGACAGACTACTTAAACTTCTGTAATTTTTTTTAAATTCTTATCGCTTGTCACCTCCGAGTCGCCAGCTCGATCTGTTAAAAAAGATTTAGAAAATTTTTGATATGGTGCAAAACTTTCTTGGGCAATATCAATTTAATTTTATTTGTTAATTTAAAGTATTATAAGTGTATACTGCATGGTTTATACCGGCTGTTAGATTTAGATTTCTGACATAGGGAATTTACATGGATAATCAAAGATTCTCGAATATTTGCTCCCCTAATTATTCTACAGTAAAAGTCTAAACACAAAAATTCAAAAGAGAATAAAAAACTGGACATAAATCCGTTTTTAATTATTCTCTAACAACGTCTGGTACTAAAATAAATTAAGAAAACCTATTTTAAAAAAATTGACAAATTATCTGCTGTGTTATTTAACAAAATTTACATTTCCTGTGGTGTTCTAACTCACTTTGTTGTGTTTTTACGTAAAAAATCGTAAAAAATCCTGTCTCGACTTGTCAAATTCTATGTATGTACCTTTTGCCATTTTTCCAAAAGCGGCTGAGATTTTGTATGAATGTGGGGTGAAGGGGTTAAACGGGGAATGTTTTGCACTTATTTTGATTAACTCTGTAAATATTGTTGCAAACCGAGGGATTTAAATAAGAATTCTGGCTTTTTTTACGGTCTGTTTTTTTTTTAATTTTACCAATTATTATCCTGGCCCAGAAATAAAAAAAGCCGTTTTGGGGAATTTAAAAACAAGAGCTTTTATTTGTTTAATATTATTACTGGTCGCCATTCCGACCGGTGAATTTTTTGCATGCGCCAATTGGCTTTCTCCAGAAGTAAAAATCCATTTTGGGGTGTTTCAAAACAAGGAATGCTCTACGGTTTCTTGGGTGCTTTTAATGTAATTATGTTTGATTTTGGATGATTTTCCCATGTGCCCATTTTCTGGTGGTCTATTGATTTTCGACTATTTTTTAGGCACATAAAAAATTATGATTTTTGAAGGATTTTGTGTCTTTTTGAACGAATTTTATAACATTTGTTTGTAAGGCGCCAAATATACCTATTTGATTTGGTGTTGTTTTTCTCTTTTTATTGCATGCGCCAATTGGTCTGGTCCAGAAATAAAAAGCCATTTTGTAGTGTCTAAAAACACGGTATGTTGTAAGTTTTTTAGAGTGCTCATGAGATAATTTTGGGTGATTTTCAACGGTTTTTTCGTTTGCCCAATTTTTGCTGGTCCTCGGATATTTGAGTACTTTTGGGGCGCATAAAAATTAATGCTTTCTGAAGGGTTTTAGGTCTTTTTCGGTTGTTTGCTTTTGGGAGAACAGCTGAATTTTTAAGGTTCTGCCTTGTTTTTTTGAAGAAGCCAAATGTCCCGGTCCAGAAATAAAAAGCCATTTTGGGGTGTTCAAAAACAAGACATTTTGTAAGTTTTTTAGATCTTTTTCGGATGTTTACTTTTGGGAAAACACACAAATTTGTAGGATTCAACCTTGTTTTTTCATGTGCCCAATTTTTGTTGGTCTATAGATATTTGGGTACTTTTGGGGTGAAGAAAAATTAATGCATTTTGAAGGGTTTTCGACCTTTTTTAGTTGTTGACTTTTGGGAAAACAGCTAAATTTGCAAAATCCAGAAGTAAAAAGCCTTTTTGGGGTATGTAAAAACAAGGTGTTTTGTTAGTGTTTTAGGGCGTTCTTGAGGTAATTTTGCATTATTTTGGGAGATTTTAACAGTTTTTTCATATGCCCAAGTTTTGGTGGTCTACACATATTTGGGTATTTTTGGGGTGGACAAAAATTAATGCTTTTTGAGAGGTTTTTGTAAGATTCTGCCTTGATTTGTAAGACGCCAAATGTCCCGGGCCAGAAGTAACATTTTGTACTCTACTGTCTATACAGAGATTTATTAACACGTATTACACAAAGTAACAAATTTGCCACAAAAACATGCGCTCGTGTGATTGTGTCTAATCTATCAATGCGTATGTTTTCTAAGAGTATAAATAAATAAAACTAAAAAATAAAAATATATACGAAACTATGAGCTAAGTAGTGTTTTCAAGTCAGATATTGACAAAAAGTGTATTTTAGCGCATTCAAAAAATATCTCTGGTAGGTACATTCCAAGTCTTCTGGGTTACAATTATTTGAAAAGCCTATTTATCCTATTACTATACATTAAATTAGTGCGATTCTGTCGAGTCTGTGGTAGAAATTCTTGCCGAATTTCCGTTCCTTTGATGCGTATTTGTATAAGACATTTCCATTTGAACAGCACCCTGTTTTGCTAAAGAATTCCTTCGGTAATTATTAGGATCGATGCTGGGCTTTCTACGACTCAAATGTCTCTCCACCCATTTCAACATCGTCAAAACCGAATCTGTAGACGGTAAACGGCGTTCGGCCGAAGTTTTGACAATCGACGATGACGTAACTCTAAATGTCGCTGCCATACCTTTCAAAGCCTATCAACACAACAAATTTACCATCAACAGCCCTTCAACACCCCTAATACAAACCTGCATAGCATCTTCGTCTGTCGTATCATCCCCTGCATATATAATCCTGATCCTTTCGCTCCAATCTACTCCAAAAGCAGTTCTCAGAATATAAATAGACGCTCTTCCCTTATTCCACTGAACCGGAGGTTTGGCTTCGATAGCACAATGAGCCTTCACGGCCTTAAATCCTGCCTCTTCGATCAAACGCTTGGCTTCTTCGGCCAACTGCGGTCGAATATGTGCCGGAGTTTCACGGAAATGGAATGTCAAAAGAGCCCCTTTATTCTCCACCCAAGCGCCATCGCGACACACTTTTTCCTGCAATTGACGCAACAACTCGCCAACTTTATCGCGGAATTCGGTCGGCATAGGATGCACGAATTTCGTATTGTCGGGATGTAAAATCTCCAAGCCGTGATTACCGGCGTAGGTTATACCCTCAATACCGACCATTTGCTTCACGTTATTCACATCTCGGCCGGAAATAATAGCGATATAAACGTCGGAGTTATTCGATAGTCTTTGGAGGACGTTTTTGGTTTCGGGAGGGAGGATGGCAAGGTCTGGGTGAGGAGCAATCGGGGCCAGAGTACCATCATAATCCAATAGCAAGGCCAGTTTGTGTGTATTCCCAATATACCTGAAATTTTTTAATCAGAAATTTCTATTTCAAATTTTGACTAACTTACTTTGCGAGGTATTCATCAAAATCGTCAAGAGTCACCGCAGGCATTGATGTGGTTCCGATATCGTCATGATCCTCCTGAGTTATTAGAGAGCCCATAGCCGACAAAAACGATTTGGTCCAATAGTTAACATCGTTGAGTTTTTCACGTCTTCGCAGATAGTTCATTCGAAGGATCCTCTCATCTTCGGGCATCGTCAGAGCCCGATGTATGACTTCTGAAGCGTCGTTGATTTCGTAAGGGTTGCAGATAAGAGCTTCGTGCATAGTTTCTCCGGCACCGGCAAAAGGAGAGACTATGAGGACACCTGGAGGTGTGTTGATTTGGCATGCTACAAATTCTTTGGCTACTAAATTCATTCCGTCGCGAAGAGGGGTCACTAGCCCCACAGCAGAGTCTCTATAAAACGCTGCTAGTTCGTCTTGACTCACACACCCGTAGATGTAACGAATAGGTGACCAATTGGGTGTTGTAAATTTACCGTTAATTCGACCGACCAATTGGTCCATTTCTTCTTTCAGATCTTGATACTCTTTAACGTCGGTGCGAGACGGAACTGAGATTTGTAAAAGAGAAACTTTTTCTTTGTGTTCGGGATGATTTTCAAGTAACTTCTCGAAAGCCATCAGTCTATGTACTAGTCCTTTTGTGTAATCGAGTCTATCGACTCCTAAAACAATTCTTTGGTTTGTTGATAAGACTCTTGGTGCTTTTTCGGAGAGCTCGACAAATCGCTCAAATGGGATTCCAATGGGCAAAGGTCGAACTCTCACCGATCTTCCACCATGTTCAACCAGAAGATTTTTTCTATCGACACGACATCCCAAATTTCGTTGACAACAATCGACGAAATTCAAACAGTAATCAGTGATGTGAAATCCAACCATGTCACAAGCCAGCATCCCTTGAAGGACTTCATCCGACCATGGGAACAACCGGAAAATATCCCAAGGTGGAAACGGAATGTGGAGAAAGAATCCCAGTTTGCAATTAATCCCTTCTTCTTCGGCCCATTGTCTCACCCAAATTGCCGCTAACATTAAGTGGTAATCGTGAATCCAAATCAAAGGTACGTCATTCCCGGTCTTTTTCGGAAGAGATTTCAACGCCTTCATAGTACAAGCAGCGAATTCTTTATTAGCAGCACTATAGCACTGCCAATGTTCTCTTTTAAACGTCGCTCTGTCCGGCATCGAGTGAAATAAGGGCCAGAAAGTGGCATTACAGCAGCCATTGTAGTAAGAATCAAAGACTGCCGAATCTATTTGAACAGCAACAACTTTTTCCGATTTGAGACCTGCCGTAGGCGTGATATCACCCGGATCCGATTCCGGGATAGGTTCGTTGGGATCGGTGAGATGAATTCCAGGCCAACCAACCCAAAAACCATTACCATTGATGACAACCGGAGCTACAGCCGTAACCAAACCACCGGCGCTAGAAAATTACATTTGGTCGGTGTTTCAGGAATTAGGGGCTGATTTTTACCTGGCTTTTCGTACAAGTTTGCCATTGGCATCTCTTTTCAAAACGAAGGGTAGTCGATTCGACACCACGATCATACTCCCGGAGGAGGCGACGACATCTGCGGTCATGACAAAAGGATTATCAACAAACAAACGAAATTATCAAAAAGACATCGTTCGGAAAATAAACAAAATCTCTAGGATGTTATTTATTGAAAGTTGTGATACGCACTGAATAAATTAATATGATGCGTTACGATTTTAAATTGAAAATGGACAAAGATCGACTTTACACGGACGCAAGGGGTCAAAAGTTTATCAGTACTGGGTGGTCAACCGACATGTTGTGTTCCCTACATACTTGTTATGATTTTTTCCTTCTCTCTTGATTGTACGAGTTTGTTTCGATATCAACCGCCCAGAACTGGCTACGTTTTCTCAATCATTTATAAATATACAGAAATAATTGATGAGATATGTGGGTACGAAGTCGCACCCCTTTTCGATACCGAAATAAAGAAGACAAATCGGCGAGGTTTTAAGGTCGACTATTGACGTCAGATTCGAATTGCAACCACAAGCTCCAGGCGTGATTATCATGGTCTAGGGAAAAGGAAAACAAATCGAAAGAGTTACGTCACTTTTCTCATTTTTGTTGTAACAATAACAACGGAAAAATTGGCCCCAATGTTATATAATTGTCGAATTCTTGATCCGCATCAAGCACAATCTCCTAAACCAGTCAGAAGACAAGCTTTCTAGGTGTTTGTGGAACGTTTTACATTTAGATAGAATTATTCCAGGTGTGCTTAATCGGAAAATACACGTTTTGGCCAAATGCGATACCGGGTTAGAATTCCACAATCATAACCACCACAAAAGCATTCTCATGCATTGCTGTACGAAAACGAGCAAACTTCGACATCCAAGTTTTTAATCAAACCGCTGGCGAATTTCTGTTTGCAACACATTCCCTTCCGGATAGTGTGATTTAAGATTCATCCATTTATTCTCTCAATTTCATATTAAGTGTGCGAAACGACTGTTTTTTTTATTCGAGAGACAAAAAAGAATTCACTATTATAAACAACGTCTTTTCTACAAAATATTTAATTCAAGTATTAAAATACAAAGTTTAACTGTCATGTTTCTGTTAGTGTGTGAAATGCATTAGTGTATAATTTCACTGCTGACAATTTCGCGCTAACATCAACTATTAATTTCGAAGTGTAAAATTCAACATTTTTTCATGACTGTGGAAAAAAATATTTATTGTATACTTGCCTCCAACAAAAAAATTAAGTTTCATCACATTTATTTTATTATCACTAACTACGTCTTGTTTTGAACAATAATTATGCTTAGCTTTACTTTATAAATACCTGACTGTATTTATTTTTAAAACAAGCATAATAAATAAAGAAGAATTATATAAAATTTACATTGTTTAAAAGAGAGAAGATTTCTTTGACATTTGGCCGATTTCTTCCACCAAAGTTTGGTAGATTAAAAGCATATAATTGGCGCTTTTATCACTAATTATCTAAAATAACATCAATATTTTTCTTTACACAAAAGCAAACATTGAATTACGAGTAAATCATGTGAATGCGCTCGATGGACTCTTATATTTATAGACTTGCTCTTCCAACGACCTTAAATTTTTTATTTAACAATAAGTCGTAAAAATGTAGACCAGACAACATACAACATTCATTCATGCTAATCCTTTATCACCTGATTCTTCTTGCGAGTCGTAACCTTGATCGGTCACCATTATCACAATGTACACCCTAACAACGTCAAATCCGGATCACATCTGAACAATTGATAGAACAATTATTAAGCTATACCTACCTACCTGTCAGGTGGTGACTACGCAATTCTTGGCGGAAAGTTACTTTTCACCGACAAAATCCAAAAGAAAAAATCAAGGATCAATGTAAAGTGCAAAACAAATACATAAATGTTTATTGTTAAAATTTTGTAATTATTTGTGAAGGATAGTTTTTAAGTGAATTCAGTAACACTCGATAAGGACGTGATCATGGGCGCCCGCAGAAATTATGGTCAGGGGGGGCAAAAAAAGAGTCGAAATTAATAATAACAGTTTTATTCGTCTGTTTTCATATCACTCAGTTCGTGATCGAATTGTAAATAGTAGTTTCTTATTTCGTTCATTAAAATTTAAATTAGAACGAATTTGTATAAAATAAAAAAAAATCTTTTTTTTATATAAAATATCAACCACTATTGTCCCAGGGGGGGCAACGGCCCCCACTGACCCCCCCCCCTGTGGGCGCCCATGGACGTGATCACAGATATTTCAAACTTTGGCAACGAGAAGCAAGTTAATTATTTATAGCCTGGCAAAAAAACACCAATTGACATACTAACTTTATTCTACTTTGAGAAATAAATTTACAACTTTCATAAATCTAAAGGTGCTTTGTTTTAAGTTATTAGTGTCGGAAAGCCTTTCAAGTGGCATAAAATCAACAAATTTTGTTTATGAAATAAATATGTAATAGTGCATTATTAAAAGTTTGTTTTACGACCAATTACTAAGAGTATTTGATTTTTTTCTGGAATTTTTATGATTAAAAGTACATGTATGTATTTTACTGCAGATTACTATGCTATCATTAGGCAAAAAATTTAATAAAAAATAAATTTAACACACAACGGTATCTTAATTTGCAAAAATAGACTGTAGACAATAACGTAGGTGTGTTATTGGAAATATGATTAATCGCAAATTTTATCGCCACGGTGGCGATAAACTAATAGAATTTTTCCGTAATGACCATTGATAAGATTTTTCCACCATAGCTAATTTCCCAAGCATTGTATGACATGTGAAACAACTAATAACAGTAATGTTTGGAGGCAATAAAAATGGATTTAATGAATCACGTCATGTAAACAAAACGTGTATGCTGAGTAAGTAATTATTAAACGAATTCTGCAAACATTTAAACTTAATAATTGACGGTAATCACAACGGGATTTTTTGTCGAAACAAGGTCAAGACCATGACTGCCAAAGTCTTCATTCATGAGGAAATATTGTTTCAAGGCTAAGCGCCTAGGACCAAGTGGTTTTTGTAATTTTTGCTTGTGTGGGCGAGAATTTCAGGAAACAGGTCAAGATCAATATTGAGGTAGGTTATCCGACCACCAACTAAAGAGTACTCACTGTCAAAGTTGTTCTCGGAAGGAACTCTCGGCAAGCGTCTCCACAGTCCCATATTTTCGTCGGTGCGTTCAAAACTGGTATATTTCACAAGTATTTCAGCGTTTCCAAACTACCGGCCGGTAAACTCAATTCACTCGTTGAGCTTGATGGTTTCTTTGGTTCCCTGATGGTAGATGAGTCTGCGCGTAAGGTGCGCGGAATATTACTGACAATCCCGATCGAATACTCTAGACTTATTCTAGACTTTCTAAAGCCAAAGGACCCTCCAGCTAAGTTGGAGGTAGAGCTTTGCTCATCGCCAAGGAATTTTGGATTAATAAAATCGATAAAGTTGTCACAAATGCGCTGACGTTGACGGTTGCCATAGGTGATGACGAGCTTTTTCGTAACAAGCCCATGAAACTACGTTCCCAGGCTAAAAATAGGAGATGGATATGTTGTATTGTTGACATCCAAGTGACCTCAAACAACCGGTCAAATGTTTGGGAAAGAATTATGCCAGAGGTTAACCAAAAGCTTGTTTACAAGCTAAAGGTCATAACCTTGCCCTGAATGCTGATTCATTGTTATCACTGTTATCATTCATGAACGTACAGGTTTCTCGCCGAGGCTTGAATGAAGCTCTGTAGATGGCAGAAGCTTTCATTTTCGTAACTGAAACTACGCTTAAATTTTTTAATTTATATTTCTTGAATTCATTTTGTTAACATGCATTACCACCAAATTGAAAACCGATATCTTAAAACAGCATGTCACGAATTGACAGCTCACATTCTTTTTTGCGGCTATTGGAAATGTGTCAAGCCTCCAAATTCTATTTATTACAAATTTTATTGATTGTCTTGAAAGAACTCGAGAAAACTATGTTATATTTGAAGCATCACATTTAGTTGATCCACTATTTTTTCTAAATAAAAAACGGTTGTAATCCAATATCGTTTCTTCAACTAGCTATATCGGTTTTTCCAAGTGTCGGAGTAAAGTACTTTGTGATATGAAATGTTCCCACTTACGTGATCCTCTTTCGCTGGCTTAAACTTTTTTATTGAGAATTTCATCATTTTTTTTTAGTATTTGAGTCAGGTAGAGAAATAAACAACATTTATACAAAAACAAATTTATTTTATCATAGATGTTGGCCGTTTTCACAGGGCGATAACATAACTATTTCTAGAGCCCTGTCAAGACGGACCGATGTCTTATTATCTAGACAACAAAAATTATATCACGGATCTTTGTAATAAATACAATTAAAAGCGATAAACTTTTACAATTTGTTATATAACCGTCGAATAAATTCTGATAAATAGTCGTCTATAGGATTTGTAATGCTATCGAAATGTTTTGTCTTCTCACATATGATGGTAGAAATATTTCAACAGTTGTTTACAAATCGACTTTATTGTCAGTCATTCCAAACAAAGCCATGAGACTAAAAACACAGCTACACCAATAATGCAACATTCATTAACATTGGCACGTTAGTCAACAATAATTAGCATACATTTATTATTTACATTGAATAGTTTGGTCAACTTAAAATGATCAAAATTGACTAAATCATATTTACAAAATGGCACTTTTTAAAAATAATCGTTCGTATACAAAATGAGGTCACTAATGACCTCCCTTTGTAACTTAATCGATCACGATGCATGACTGAATATGGTGAGATAATGATATGATAAGATTAAGAGGAATTGTGAAAAGGAACCTTTTTAGACTTGTTATCCTGTTCTCGCATACGTATAGTAGAATGAAGTATATTCCCGGTTTTATTAGTTCAAAGTCACCAAAAGAATTTTTCTAATAGAATTATCGCGCCTAGAATATGCAGTAAAGGCCGAGTCATGTGGACAGAGGCGGCTCGTGAGGTCGTGTATGTGCTTGAAGAAACATAAACACTTAAACCTGCGACGTTTCTAGTAGCCGCTTGTACTTCGTATTCGGTATTTGGTTCCAAATCATTTAAAGAATACAAATTATCTAAAAAAAAATGTTAATTTTGATACACTATCGATCATTTTTTATACCTTGTGTGATATTAAATTCCTTTTGTTTCCATTCTTTGTCATCAATCTTCTTATACTTCATGTTAAATCCTTTCGTGCCTAAATCCATCTCAGACGAATTCGTCGGGCCGTGTATTTTGAATATGAGCGACTTACTTTTTATTTCTTCCAACTGGAATTGGCTCGGCGGCAATGGTCGGGCACCCTGTTTGAGCGTGAAATACTCCTCGTACACCCCGTATTTATTTCTAGCAATGCAAGTGTAATTATCAAAGAAGGATTTGTCACGAATGTGCAATTGTAGGATGGAAATTTCTTCCGATTCCTTAATGATTTTTCCAAGTTTCTTCTTTGGGTCCTTGTGTTTTTTCCAGGAGAAACTAGCCGGAGGATTAGCTATCGTGACACAAGTCAGATTGGTGGTGCCGTTGATGTAGCCGTAGATAACTTCTTGGCGGACGTGTCTCATCGGATGGTTCGGGTGGACCGGCTTGTCTGCAAAGAAAAACTCCAGCTGTTGAATTGTAGCGAAAAGTTTGAGATGTCTCCGTTTGTGTTTGCTCGGGAGGTAATCTACCTGTCTGGCGGATAATTAATTGCTAGGGGCCCGTGTGTGTGATAAAGTTGGTTTTCCTTTGAGCCTTATTATGCACCCGAAGTTGGTCGACGGCAATCTGGACACAATCTCGTAAAGTCTGCGGTAAACTTATGCAGTACATTAGATCTTCGGAAAGTGCGATTAAATTAGGACCGGTAGGTAGTCGGTGATGTCACACACAGCTGCCTCATCAGCCCGGCGCATCCACCAATTACAACGACTTACTATAAAGCAATTATACCACCGTGTAGGATTGTGTTTAAGGTTTAATTAATGTCTACATACATGCGGGATGAATGTGCTCAGTCATTTATTCACGTCACCACTGTACCAACGCCAAGAACTCACATACATTCAATAGGGAAATTTATCGAGTGAGAATTATAAAGTGTTAGATGTGTGTGTGGTAGTTCGCCTCCTTAGACAAATTCGATTTGGCAGGTGCTTAAACCGACTTTCCTATCTGCTGCTGCTAAATGATGGCAACTATGCCAATAAATTTTCTCACTATCGATGCTTTAACCAACTTTCACAACCCTCCAACATTTATTTTCTTATATTTCGGCCAAACACTCACATTATGGAAAATTCTTTTCGAGCGAGTAACGTTCAACTTCGCCATGGACGAATTTTAAAGTAATCATGGAAATTTTCTAGGATATTAGTAGTGTTGTAACAGGTGTTTCTAATTCAAATCAATAAGCATGAGAAACTTTAAAATTCAGCTTACGCTCTCAATATAAAATCCGACACAGAAGTAGACCAATAACGTGCATTTTTGTTACTTGAAATCCTAAAACACAAACCAATTCCGTACAACAACATTGTTTTTTACTACATTAAACTTCAAATGACTTTAAACTACAGTTGTAACTTTATTCAATCGAATACATAAATTTGAATACAAACACCATCGCCACATTTTCAGCAAAACAAACTTCCGGCTAAACTATTTGCATGATTCATTAAAAACAAATTCACTTCGTTTAAAAAAAAACTTCCATGGGTTTAGAACCACACTTTTAAAACGAGATAAATAACGAGGGTAATATTAGCGCTGTTTAATTGGATTAGGCCTTCGGGGAAATGGTTTGTCTTTTCCCCGGAGCAAGTATTTCAGATTCTGGAACTTCTTTTCTCCAGTAATTAAACCTGATAATACTAATATCCCCGTCAACTCGCCTGTACATCATCGCTTCGCTTTTCCTTGATACTCTCGAGAACAACAATTTCTTCTTTTCGGAGATTACATTCCGACAATAAATTATAAAAATGTCCAATTCCACATGTTTTTGATAAATAAATATTTAATAAATATAAAAGTATTAGTAATTTCTTGAAATTCTTTATTTAATTTTTCACTAAAATATAAAGTGAAATAGTTATTTAAGTATCAATGGAATAAACAACTATTTTAATCTCGAGAATGTAAGTAATGCCAGAGACAATCGAAGGGATCCGAGGACAATTCTTTTGTTAAATAATTTATCAAAATTTTTAGTTTATTTAATTGCAATTTTAAGAGTACAAATCGGTATCAAGGAGTTTGTAAAAGATTATTTTATTTCCTGTTCGTAGAAACTTATATCGAGCGATCAAGATAATTTGTAAGCGAGTCATCCTTGGATGTGAAAACGTATGCCTGTAGAATGTCAAGTAAAATGACAAGTCGAAAGGTAAAATGGCACGATCAAAAAGGTGTTGATTATATTAACCAAATTTATAATTTACCTTCAAAAAAGAGCGCTCCTACTCGTATTATTATACGTCGGCGAGTAATTCCAGCCCATTTTGCCGTTTTACCTTCCGACTTGTCATTTTATTTGACGTTTCACGGGCAGTTAAACATACGTTCTCGGATGCAGAGATGACTCGATTACAAATTATTTTGATCGCTTGATATTTATGAATACAGGGTGTTTGGTGTTCGAGTTTCACCATGGGGATCTCAGTTATTATAAGAGATATGAGGTCGGTTAAATTAGGGCAAAGTTGCGCATTTTTATGCTAAACAATAATCTGAAAGAAAATTTAATGTGTCATTTTTAGTTTTTGAATTATTGGAAAAAGACGGAAATTTGTATTTTTTGTTTTTGTTTTTTTCAAGCGAAATCTGAAAGACCTAGACGTTTTTAACTAGGACGTTTTTAATCCACTTTCTTACAGGAAATCTATATCTGTCATCGCATTTTAGAAGGCGCTTTTGATGTCAGAGTTACAACAGTCAAGTTTGGATTTTCTTATGGAGTATCTTTTATAACTTTGTGTTGTTTTGCTTTGCGAATAATAAATTTTAGTTTATCACGTTGTTTCTATTTCGAAACCTAAGGGTGTTATGCAGTGAAGGAAAATTTCAGTTTTCAGAAATATGCAACCCAAATTGCAGGGCATTTAGGCTTGCACTGGCAGCTGTCAATCAACGGATTAAAAGACCTCCTGTGGCGACGGTCGCTAAGACCACACCAGACCGAACCTTTTAAAATAATCTTAGTAAAATTTTCGGAATGTGCTCTTTCACTTATTTTCATATATGATAATAATACTTATAATAATAACAAAATGCTAAGTTGCATTGTTAAATACTTAATGAAGATAAATAATCTTTTATAAACCAAACACAAATAAAAAAGAAATTATAAGGACCATAAATGGCTTTATATTCACACAAAATATTTTATTAGACTTAGCAAACACTATACACTATCAAATAAAATTACACATTTACACATACAGCCTGTCAATTTTAAAACTTGCAATCGGGGATATTTCTAGAACTGAAAGTTATCGAGAAACCGTTTCGGTGAAGCCTTGAAACCACAGCCACTTCAAGTTGAATATTTTAAATGGCACTACCCTACTTCTGATACATCAGTAAATAAAGTAATTAATTAAAAACATTCAAAATATTTCGTCTCCTTAGTGCAACAACTAGATAACTTGAAATTTATAGTTTTGAGTAACTGCAATTTAAAAATTTAAAAGACAAAAAACTACATCTTGAAAGTAATCAAAAATTATTATTGTTAGTCATACAAGTGTGTAATATACTAAACTGTTTTTTAATGTGACAGAAATTTAGGTTTTAGGTTTTTGAAGTACTGCAACAATACTTTAGAAATGCCTAAAATTTAAGTTGTTGAAATAACGAGACGATTTTTAGATCACATATTTTTATGTGTAAGAGATCAGACTTATTTTTTCTACAAGGTGATTCTTTTAGGGCCTATATTAGAAACTTTTTAACTTCTAATGCAGATAGAAATTTAAAATTTTGTACACAACTCAAATCGACTAGTCTAAGTTCAATTAAATTATTTTCAAAATGGCTGAACTTCCGGAACTATGAGAAATTTGCGTCAACTTTAAAATTTTAAATAGTAACCATTTATTTTTATTGCATTTTTGAATTTTTTCTCCAAACTGAGTAAAATGCACTTAGGTGTTAGTACTTATCTGTCATAGTTTTTGACATATGTCAATTTTTTGCTCAAAATTTTTATTTGCAGAGTTTCATTAAAAACATCACAGCTCTTGAACCGTTTGCGATAAGTGAATAATTTTTCTTGCATTCGATAATCGAAGGTTCGAAGAGTTTCCTAAAATTTTCAAAATTGTCAACTGTCAAATTGCAAAGCTTATATGATTTTCTGAAAATAATATTTAACAAACAGCTATAACTTAGCATATCTATCTATAACGGCAATCGAAAGTACATCGATTTGTAGAAGGACTTTTATCAACATGTCCTATACCCATCTCTTACAGTTTCTGAAATAATCACGAAAAACGTGTTTTTCTTTTTTATTTTTATAGTCAATCACGTAAGCTTTGGAAAATGATCAATACGTATTAAAGATTTAGTATACACAACATCCATCCGGAATTACGAAGAATTGAGGCCAGGATTGAGACGGCATTTAATAATCTTCAACCAAATGAAATAATGGAAGCAGTTCACCATCGAGTTTTGGACTGTTTGAAAATGGTAAACATATCGAACATCTGTATTAATGATGGTATATTTTTATTGTATTTTACCAAAGCCTACGTGATTAACTATAAAAATAAAAACAATAACATGTTTTTCGTGATTATTTCAAAAACTGTAAGAGATAGGTGTAGGACATGTTGATAAAAGTCCTTCTACAATTTAATGTACTTTTGATTGCCGTTAAGAAAATAGAGTCATTTTATTTGAAAAAATTGAGTTATAGCTGTTTCTTAATGATCATTTTCAAAAATCATACTAGCCTTGACAGTTGACAATTTTGAAAATTCTAGAAAACTTTTTCAAACATTTGGTTATCGAATGCAAAAAAAAATATTCACTTATCGCAAAGGGTTCAAGAGCTGTGATGTTTTGAATGAACTTCTGCAACTAAAAATTTTAACCAAAAAATTGACATATGTCAAAAACTATGACAGATAAGTACTAACAACTAGGTACATTTCACTTAGTTTCAAAAGGAGAATTCAAAAGCGCAATAAAAATATGTGGCTACCATTTAAAATGTCAAAGTTGGCGCCAATTTCTCGTAGTTCCGGAAGTTCAGCCATTTTAAAAATAATTTAGTTGAACTCAGACTGGTTGATTTGAGTTGTGTACAAAATTTCAAATTCCTATCTGCATTAGAAGTTAAAACGTTTCTAATGTAGGCCCTAAAAGAATCACCTTGTATATTTGACCGCACTTACTACAGCCGTTCGAAATTTTAATACATGCCGTAATAAAATTCTAATTTTTGAAATGAGTTTAGCGCATTTGCCCAATTCTTTTAATTTATTACAATTATTTCGCAAGATATGGTTTCTACACTCGATTTTTTCAATATAATAATCCGGGCCATATGGCTTGATATTTTTTATTTTATTATAAACACTACTATCACCATCTCCTATAATTCGTTTATACCGGCTGTCCCAGGCAGGTTTGGATACAGGAAATTAACATGGGAAATTACTTTTTATTTTTTTTCGGCTGCAGGAGTAACAGAAATTAATATCTGATTAATGGAGCTTGTAGTGAAATAAATAAAAACTATTTTTCCATGGTAATTTCTTATATCCAAGCCTGCCTGGGACACCCGATATATTAAACCATGCATTTCTACTGAACACATAAAACTATCTAAAATAATTTGTGCCTCCATCGCTGTCGATGTGCCTTCCCAATTTTTAAAACATGCATGTGGTGGTATGTCAATATTTTTGTCAGAATAACTTTTGCAATATTGACAATACTTATTTTTAATACCAACGTACAAATTTTTTTGGTTTTTGCACCAATTATTGAAGCAACACCAGAAGAAGCAGTAACCCGTTTAGTAATTTCTGCCAAAAAGAGAAAGTTTTAGTTCTTCAAAATTTCAGGATTAACTCAATCAAATTTCTAACGAATTCTTGTATTATGATAGTTTTCTTAGAAGAACCCAAAATTATGTTAGGAGTTAGTTTTTAACTAATAAGCAGTGCTAAATCTCAAAAAATGCAAAATTAGAGCGAGATAGTTTTATATTGTACAAGAATTTTCTTAGAAGAACTCAATGATTTGCTACATAAAAAAAGCACTTTAGAGAAAAAAAAATTTTTTTTCAAATTTCCAACGTATACTTACCTGATTTTTTAAAACTAAAATTATGTTAGAAATTAGTTTTTAACTAATAAGCAGTGCTAATTTAGAGCGAAATTTATTTATCTTTTACAAGATACACACTGTGTATCTGCTTCGAATTCTGTTGTCATTCATTTTGCGTTCTTAAACGTCGAATAATTCGCGAATTAAAATTTGAATGCAGTTAAATGTTCTATAAATTGGCCACAATGCTACTAGACTTAAAAAAAAATGTAGCTAAAACCAGATATCATCAGTTTGAAATGCAACAAAAAGGAAAGTTTCCTGCAGGTACCGCTTGTGTAAAATCATTATTAGGGGTTAAGCGCTCGATGGGGGGTAATAACGGCTGTAAATCATGGAAGCTTGAGATTTTCGGTCCAAGGGTAATGGGGGTTGCATCCATTTTTTAAAGTTTTTTTTGTAATTTAGCTCGTATTACAAAAAAAATTGAACGTAGCGAGGTGCATATTTTAATTATCTACATGTCAATAAAAAACTTGTTTTAATATGTTGCACCGTTACAAATAAAAACCTGGGCAAAGTTTTACAATAATGGTAATTTTTTAGAGAATCTAAGTAATATTTTGAAAAAAATACCTCATAGCGGGGTACGTTATGCTATTATTTACAGATAGAGACGTGGATCTTTTTGTAGAATTAAAAAATACAGATTTTACACATGGGTGAAATTTGCATATTTTCCCGTATAAATTTTAGACACTAATGGAGAGCCTTAAGGCTCTGGAAATGTGACTTCCAGATCCAAATTCAATTGAACTGTCAAAATTTAATTTGTTAATTAAAATTGGTACGGTTGTTTTCCAAAGCACTCTTAGCAAAAACGTTTTTTCTTAATTTTGATCCATGTAAAATTTGATTATATCGTTGTACTGAGGAACAAAAAAACTTTTCAAAAATACATAAATCAAATATGGCGTCCATAAGAAAATCCAAAGTTGAGTGTTGTAACTCTGATATCAAGAGAGCCTTGGAAAATACAATAACAGATTTAGATTACAAATTTTCGTTTTTTTTTTCAATAATGCAAAAACTAAAAATGACACATTAAACTTTATTCAACACAAAAATACCCAACTTTGCCCTAATTTAACCGACGTCGTATCTCTTATAATAACTTATGGTGGAGATCGAAAAACAAACACACTATAGAAATGAATCAATAAATAAATAATTTTCTCAGTATTAACCAGCAATATTATTCAGCAATAATGCCGAATTAAAAAAAAAACTTGACAAACCAGTTATAAAACAACGAGTAGTCAAAAATTATCATTACGCTTGCTAACACCATTCGTGCTACGCACTCATGGTGTTCATAAACCAATGACCATTCATAAAGATATTCTACAATCTTTAACTACGAGTTGTATTCAACAGACTATTCAGTGTCACATAAATTCAACTAGAGAATTGAAAAATAAGTGCGATTTAGCTATATCAAAGTAGATTGATAAATTACGGATCGATGATCGGAGTATAATAAAAGTAAAAATTTGTAAAAAACACTCATATGGAATTTAAAAATTAAGTTTTTATTAGTAACCTTCATAGAGCACACTTTTGTAAATTCAAAGGAAACTGTTAGCTGAACCAAGGTTTACTTACTTTAGTGTAAAGTTCAGCAATGCAGCTATGCAAATTAATGAATTTGCAATCACCTCTGGGTGTTCCTTATTTAATTTTTGTGTCAGAAGAAAATAAAGAGTTTTTTGTAAAACATATGGCAGTCTACCCTTCCGTAATCGGATCAAATCGAGTTTTATTCTGTACGAAATCGGCGCCGTGAAAATCTCCTTCAACTCAATTTAATAGCGGATCGAGATTTATCAAAAGTATGAAAATTGCAGTGTGCTTGCTTACATTCTGAAACTTTTTCCTTTCTTTCGTCAGATAAATTACAGAGTGGTTTATAACTCTAGTCCTGGGTCCGAAATGGTAATAAAACGGGTTTAGAGGGTCGCTACTAACGTCTATCTTTGTGTGTGTGTGTCGATTTCATGCATATTTCAGTAGAGCTTTCGAAGAAATTTGTCGCAAACTGGATTTTTGGAGGAAATTAGCACAGTGTGTTTGTGTTTGAGGCAATGCAAACAGTTACTTACGCAACACGTGTAGATGTATGGGGCGGTCCAGAACTGTTCCCGTACTTGGTTGAACTCCTTTACAGATGTAGGTTTTGCTATCAGATCGGGTGACGTTTCTTATCAGGAGGCCATCGCCGAGGACGGCGTATTTTGCATTATCTGTTAAAAAAAAATAAACAAAAACAAGATTCTTCAAAATTTCGATCTATTGAATTACAAACAACAAATTTTTAAAGACAATGCAACGTCTGGAGAATATCTTTAATGGAGCGTGACTTTTAATGTTCGAATATCTCGAAGCATTTCACTCCTTTTATGAAAGAAAATTCCCTCTCAAATTGCTTCAATGTTACAGTGAATCGTTTCAAGATGGGCGGTCTTTTTTCCACTTTGTTTCATTCTCTCTTTCACGTGACAGAATTAAAACAAACATTTCCTGAAAATTATCACCGATTGAGTGAACTTTGAACTATAACATTTCTAATATCAATTGATGTGAAATTTAACAACATTTCAGTCAGGTTTGTTTACACATCAAAGCGAGTATTTAACAAAATAATTAAATTAATGGAAATTAATTTGAAAACTTTCCCAGGAAAGCGTTCAAACATTCCCGTGCTTTGAAAAAAAAAAACTCGCAAGGTGTTATATAATGCTACATTTCGTTATTTAATTCACTCGCCTGTAATTGCTGAACCTTCGTCCATTGACCAGGAGGTGGATCCGCCTTTGACTTCGCATTTTAGGTTGAATTCGGAGCCTTCGACTGCTGTTTGGTTCGTCGAAGTATCGGTGAATTTGAGGGGTGCTGGAATGACGGTCAGACATTGAACAATTCGACTTGGAGGGATTTATAACAGGGGATTAAATTCGGTCCTAATGGGGGCATGTTAATTTAGTTTCCGTCCGTAGTGTTTGCTACTATACAATTTATTCGTTTTGGTGGCAGCAAATGTGATGTTTGGGTCGGTACGTGCCTCGTAAATGGCTTCGAAATTTGTTTCATACGGCGCACTGCTGCCGATGATTAATGCGAGCTTTTCCAAATATCTGTTTTTAATGGGGAAATTGTGTAAACGCGTGGTTATCATAAATTATTATAAATAATTCAAACGATTGCTCTAATAGCACATTCGCAGTTTTCTCCTCGCGCTAATCTATTATTGATTACAAGAAAAATACTCCTATATGACTACAAATCATAAAAATTGTAAAACTTGCAGAATAAATTACTATTCAAACAAGTCAAGAAGCATTATGAGGAGGAAAATGCTTAATTTTCTTACTTTTTGTTTTTCCTTTGAATTTTTGATTGATAACATTGCTTTATCATTATAAATGGAACAAAGATGAGTTTGCAGAATATAATATTAAATCTGAAATAATTCAAAGATTTCATAATTTACGCGAAACGATTTCATAAATTTTGGTATTCTAAAAAATTCATTACTGCTTTTAATTCAAAGAATATTTAACGATCGTTGTAATTTTAATACCAATAAAATTTTCAGTAAAAACAAGATTAAAATAACTTGAAAAACATTTCAGCATATGACGAAAAGTTTGTATTCTCGCTTAGTTGTCAATCAATAACGTAGAAGATGATAAAAGCACCTCGAAATAGAGACAAGCTTTCATACACACATCTAAAACTTTTTATAAATAAATTTTTGACAAAAAACTATTTGCTTTAATTTCTTTGACACCGTAATGATCTCCTTAACATTGCCATCGGGTACCTATATTCGTAAAACCACGAGGGATCAGGGCAGATGTGAAACGGATTAACTTGCTGAAGCCTCTGTGTATACAACAGAAAGCGGAATAGCAACCATTACACGCATGCAAACAAGTTGTGGATATATTGGAGCAAAATGTAAATTGACATTCAAATTAATATAAAAGCAAAAGCACGGAAAAAGCATTCGCATAAACGGTAATGGACGAAAATTTATTATTTCTTTCTATACATTATTGTCGTCTTTATTATTATTAAAAAGATTATTATTATTAAATTTATTTACAAATTCTTATCAAGCATTTTAAGTTGTGTTGTTAACACTAAAAATAAAGTAAAAACAGTAACATTACCTCTTTCAAACTATGGGATAGGTGTAGGTGTAGGTAATTTGATCTTAAGTGAGTAATTTATTTTCAAAAAAGCAAACTTTGTAACACTGTCAATATAACAAATATGATATGAATATGGAGAAGTGTTTATACAGGGTGAATATAAAATATAGAACCGAGCGGTTTTTTTAAATCTTTTGCCTCCAGAAAATAATAATTAATGTGAATCAAAGAAATATAAAAATGTGATCATATTTTGAAAACGAAATTTTACTTTGTTTTGTTTTTAGTTATTCGATTTTTTTGTCAAAATTGCAATTTATGTAAAAAAAAATTGAAAAAATTAAATAATAATATAAAGTAGGTAGTTGTAATACTTAGATCATAACCTTCATAAAAAATGATTTTATAGTGGATNAAAAATGATTTTATAGTGGATTGCCATTTATAAAAATAAATAAATTTGTAGAATTCAAAAACAAAAGAGAATTTCAAAAAAATTTATTCTTGATAAATCATCAATTAGTTTTTCCAAAAAATAAATAGTTTAAGGAAAACAACGTTTGGTTTCATACTTTTTATTCACCTGGTATGTGAAAATTATACAGGATTATTCATAAATATGAAGCAATTTTGAACCTCAAAAATAACCTACAAAATAATGTTAATTTAAATAAAAACTCGTGTTCTATATCTACTGATAAAAATTTTACAACCCTTGGAACACGAGTTTTTATTTAAATTAACATCACTTTATAGGTTATTTTAGAGGTTCAAATATTACTTCATATTTATGAATAACCCTATATGTGAAACGTTAGAAAGAACTTTTTTCTTTTCTTGAGTGTTTTATTTCACTCGCCTTTGGGTCGTGAAATAAATAGTCTTCTAAGGAAAAAAGTTGTTTTCTTCTCTTATTATTTTTCAAATAACTATTATTACACCTAAACAACATTTGCCTCTTACTTATTGCTGCCATAGCACATAGTTGCACATAATTTTACAAGAAAGTAAACAACATCATTTTTTTTAGCTTCATACAGCATTATTTTGTGAAATTAGCTCAAATTTTTCAAAAAAAATAATTTTAATTTGTTTTAAGTGTAGTTTAATGAAACCGCTCGGTTGATATAGTAGCAGTTAGGATTACAAAAGTGTCCCTATAAGAGAACGAGGATATCACGTCATGAATTAGGGGTAAAGAGCGAACCTAGCGAGTTTTTATTAGACTTTTGAATAAATTTTCCTCATAAAATTTTTCTGCTCCCCAAGCATCTTAAGAATGTTTAGTAATATGTCGACATTTTTATGAGCTTTATTAAAATCTTTGAAAATATGAATCGTTCAGTGGCAAATAATTTAAATTCCATTTGCGAATTGTCATGAGCGGCGATAACGTCGAGACAATAAGGGAAACCGCGTTTCCGGCGTCTTGGTAAACAACAGCCAGGTATTCGAAGAAAATCAACTATCGGCATGGCATGAACGTAAACGTTTTGTAAAATTCGCCGAGAATGTGATATATGCGATAGTGTTTGGTGTATATGTTCGACATTAAATGTGGCCTGCGAAGTTTCTCATAGTTCGCTCGCCTGACTAATTTCTCATAAGCTGCGGTGCGCCTTTGAAGAGCGGAAACCGAAATAAACAACTCATTATACTAGTTGGAAAACTCGCTTACCACCCCCGGAAATACCCAACACAATCGCCAAACTCCTCCACACCTACATATCTACCGCAACTAGAAAATTCAATTTGCAAAGTCCACGTCTATACTCACCATCCACCAAAAACTGAAACACTCGGCTTTCTGTGTCGGTCGAACACGTGTAATTGCCGGAATCTTCGACTCTCAAGGGATTAGTGAACATGATCGAAGTACCGTAAGACGTATTGTGGACAGCTGGACGCGTCTTCGGACCCAAAATCTCGCCTCTTTGGTTTCTCCATTTTATCGGAAGGCCCCCGACGTCGTCACGACAAAAAACTATAAACGTTTCGTTGTTTACTACCTTCGTCGCCGACTTCTGAGATATATATATTCCTCCGACATCTAAAAAATTCAACAATTACACAAAATGTCATCGCTGAAATATCGCTTGACTAAAATCAAAATGAAATCATTTATTTTCAAAGTAAATATTACCACAATCTACACAGGATAATGTAATTTCAGAAAATACAAGAATCAATAAATCAAAAGAAATTTAATATTTCAGCGTTTCCTATTTGGAAATAACTTGATCTGATTTTATGAATCTTTTGTTTACCAAACGAAAACCTTTCATCATAAAGCAAAGAGCGCTGCTGCTTTTATCGTGGAGTTAATTGAAGTCGGAGAATTTTTCCCTCATTACCTATTTAAACTAAAACTTTTATAAAACGAATAATTTTCTAAAAGAAAAGTAAACGCAATGAAAAGCTCTTTGGTGTTCGCTTATTGATTAAGACGACTAAATGCCGAGAAAACACCCAAACAGGGAGATAAATTATAAATTCTAAAAGTTCGTTAAGGAAAAAACATAGTGTTGTTATCCTAATTGAATTTTAAACTGAGTTCTAAGACAAATTAAGACCATTCTTTGGCTACATTTGCGCAACTACTTCTGGCGAATAAATTGACCGAAATGAATTTTGCACATGGTTCCTGCAAGTCGCATCAAAAATTAAAGTTTGGTATACAATATATCAATTTGGTAATTATGTCGTTTCCAAACTTAACTCGATCATCGTTAATTCTTGAAAACGTGATTCATCCGAGGATTCCGGATTTGTCCGGACCGTTCGGTCTGCATAAAACATGACGTTCTCAAAGTGCGTCAATTTAAAAAACTCCCCACGTCCACGTATTCCATCACTTTATTTAATGGATGAAGAAATTGGTGCTCGTTTGCATCAGTCCCTTATTAAATTCGAGCTCCAACCCCCAATAAATTATAAATTAATTGCGGGACATTGCGACCTTTGCATAATTTTCGGGAAAGACGATTCCAATTTTTAACAGCTTGGTGCTGCATGCATGCGTACTTATCTTGAATTATTAATCTTATCATGTTTTTTCGTTTATACATTTTAGGGAACACTAGGGAACACTATAGCATGAAATAAACATGAAAATGGGGATGTATAAACATCTTTCTCAACAAGACCTACTTTTTATGTTTTATACTAAAGAAAGTTTCTTTAAAAAAATCGTTACTTGTGGAGTCTTGAAAAAATCTAGAGAATTAATAGCGCTTTCGTCGATCGAGGCAAAGTGATTAAAAGCAGTTCGGATACAAAAATAATTTATCTTGGAGATAGTTCATCCGCGACGAAACCAATTCACCGAGATAATTCGTGACCGAAAATATTTCAACTGACCTCCCCCCAAAATTTTTCTAAAATATTTAATTCTGGTGCGATTAGTCAAAGAGATTTTCATTGCCGCAAACCGAAAAAGTTATTCGTGGCAATAATTTACGACAAAACAGTCACAAAAGCGATTCGTCGTGACCAATTTGTCATAAAAGTGTGCATGTTTGGTCGGGAAGACCGATAATTTCCGTCAAAACAATAATTTATCCGACATCAAACATTAATTGTAGTCGTTATCGATTCGATTCCTCGTCCTGGCGTCATTTTTTCATCGCGTGATTTATTTTTATTAAATAATGGAGCGATGTTTACAAAACTATGAACAAAAAATGAGAATTTATAGTTTGCCGCTGGTTGTTTGCGGGGTTAACTGCCAAACATGCAATAATATTTAGCCGTGCAAACCACTTGTAGGGTTCAAGAGTGTAATTGTTGATGGGCGAACACTGGTGCGAATTATTCAGCTCGTTTCCTGCACACGCACCGGCTCGGGACCGGAAACTCTCGCCGGAAACGCGCCAGAGGGGACAATACGATTTTATTTTTATAAAACCCTGTAATGCAAGTTTTAGGATATTCGATCCTGTTATGGTTGCTCTTGAAAAAAGTGGAAAACAACTTGAGGCTGTGAAATAAGCAAATGCATTAATATGAGAGAAGATTAGCCCGACGGTGATGTTTCTATTCAGGCTAATGTTAAAGTTTCGCCGTCTCACCATCATCGTGTTCTCATAACTTTGTTCGTATCTTCGAACAGGGCATATTCCCAAAAGTGAACTCAAATGTAGGTACAACGACACAACTTTTAGGAGAAATCGCGAACCGACACGATAATTACCCCTTTGATGCAAGATTATGTTCAAGTCGAGTTTTTTTATAATTTTAATTGTGGTGGATGCGCCGGGAAAATAATTTTCCACAGCGTCACACTAAACAATAGGACGGCAATTGCGGTTTTAGTGGCAATATAGACACACACTCATGCCGACCCGAAACAGAGCAACAATTTGTGATAATATCGACTAACGCCGTGGGCGAGGTTTGATATAATGAAATTAAGTGAATTAACGATGAAAGAAGGAGTTGTAGTAAGAAGGTCTGTGTAATATTGCCTGTTTAACAAGTAAATTTATAATTTTTGTAACTTTAACCTGCACACACATTGGGTACAGGTAGGGCTTTTACCGGTGTACGTTTCGCGTCATAAATAAAACATGAAACTGTAGCAGTAAAATGAGTGAATTCTTGTCATAGCCATTCTCAACCATTACGTTCGTAATAATATAAACTGTCAAAATATCATGTTGTTTCACTGGGACATATAAAATGAAAAATATTTTTCGTACGAGACGAGTTTAATTTTTTCGCCGGCTTAAACTCTTTAATCGTAGTAAATTTAAAAAGAGATAGTGACGTGTCCAAGTTGTCACCATTCTTTATACAAGTTCCACTACGTGATTTCGCTTCGTTTATAAAACGCTTTGATTGATGGCGTTAGTTGGAGGCGTCAACAAATTCAACAAATAATAATACAAAAATAAATTGTTTTAGCATGTCTTGATTTATATTCCAGCAGATCTGAAACAAATAACCCGATATTAAAAATATGGTTATCGAAGCGTGCGATATTCGTCCATAAAGTCAACAGCTTAGTCAAAGAATGTATGTAGAGTATTTAAAAAGATTAATTTTGCGTTATTGAACAATTGTTAGAGCATCTGCTTCGGAATCGCAATCCTTAAACGCGAATCTAAATATCGAGAAAATGTTATGATGAAACGACTCGAACACTTTAATTAAAACGGGGAATAAGCCAGCATCGTTTGTTTGTAACGACTACATTTGCAGATAAACATTTTTTATTCCCGTTTAAGGGAAAATTAAACGGTCCTGGACTCAACGCAAGACACCATTGAAAAAGTGAATAATACATGAATGCAAATTGTGAAAACTGCCGCACAAAAAACAACTGACAAACAAGTTTTAAATAAGAATCGTTGGCTATTGTATTAGAACGACAAAGAGAAGTTTCCTCGCAAAAGTTTTGACACATAAATTCAAATTAAGCTTGCTTTTTGCCGCTGATTTGCATCGAAATTGTCAGAGACTCATTAAGGCAACATTTCACAATTTTCATTTTTAGTTTTGGGGGTTTTTCGATACTCACCTAACGCCAACGCCAGCAGGAGCAACACGACTAAACACACAGCCATGTTTAGATCTGCAACAACACAGAAAAAAATCACTTTTCGCAAATTTCTAGCAATATCGATTGACGCTGACCAAAGGCTTTTGATCTGTCAGGTGAAAATGATATGAAGTGTTCATGGTTCCGCTCAATCATCCCTCGACACCTCACAATAGTTTGAAATAAAATTTATTCACAAAAATAACTAAGAAAAACTTACAATTGCGAACATTATCTCGCTAGTGTCCTCACAAAACCCTGAACTCGCATGTATCTGTGCAAACTTTGGCCAACTTTTATCAGAAATATTATGATAATTCCGTATGTTTTCTTAATTCAACCAAGTTGAAATGGAGGATGCTGAAACAGGTGCATCTCGAATACAAATCTATTATTCTTTAAAAACTTGGATTGGACTATTGCATTTTTCCACAACTGGAGTCATTAAAGTTAAGAACATTAACTAAGTCATTTCGTTTTATGTTTCATTAAGGCAAAGGGTAAAGTTTAGTGACCTGAAATAGACCACTATCTACCCTGGTCCGACCAAAATTACACCAGTATGTACACACTAGCCCATCTAATTCCACACCGGTAATGCAAGAACAAACATGGAGCACTCAATTTTTCTTACTAAACTCCCGCCCTTTGAGCAAACATTAGGACATATCGAGCTAGTTTAAAACTATATTAATTAAAGTGCGACGGCAATGATTGATTGTTCTGGAAAAATCTCAAAGAAGTAAATAAAATCCATTCATCGTTTCAGCATCAATCTAATAGCTATTCGATTATTGACATCTGACATCGGAAAATCTAACAGAACTGCGGTAAAAAGGAATCCGGAGGTCGAAAGCTCTAGCAAATTTACTTGACTTTTTCGCCAAAAAGGATATAATGCGAGCGATGTCTCGGCGGAAATAATAAATTTATATTGTGATTCTTTTCCAAAAAAATTAACATAGCTTGTTTACAATTTCGTGAGAATCTAAACATCGTCAATTGAATTGTTTATTTACTTGTCCTCACTTTCGACAAGTTTGTTCAAAGTAGAATTTCTTTAATCCATTTATAAGCAAACAAGATTACACCTACCGTCACATGAAGAGCGTTAAATCCATCAATGACTGTTAAAATTTCACGTACTTAGCCACGTCTTCTTCAACCACGATTTTCTATAACGAGGTGCAATATGGGGCTTCGAATTAAGGGTTGCTGGGACGAGATGATCGTCGCGCGCGCAAAATTGTACTGGCGCCACATGGACCGTACAAGGAAGACTAGAAACTCCGACTATTTTACATCGATTGCACATGGCTTATGTTCCCTCCACGTTCTGCTGTTGGGCGTTAATTGAAAACCATCAAAACGATTCATTTTATTATGTTGTCCTGCTCATGACCTTTAACACAAAGCTTGCGATCACTTTTGCGCGAAAATTTCAATTCTAAAGAATATGTAATTTCGTTAATTAGGGTCCATTTGCATTCGCTACAATTGTCCGAGGGACCGCCCGTTGTTCCACACTTAATGTGCAATTTTCCTATCAAAACTCAACGGCTCGTGATGCAATTAAGGCGAGCGCTAATTAATACAGAAGTAGAGATTTGGACTTTCTCACCAATAGCCCCTATATTTTGATGTTTAAATTTTTTGTCTTTCGTAAAGTAAGAAACTGAGAATATGAATAATTTGCATAATACAAGCTTTATTAAATTGAGGAGTAATATTTTAGCTGTCTCCAAACCGATTTAAACTGATTTGGAAGTCAAATAGGCGTTTAAGAAGTTTGAAAAAGCCATCTGTGAAAATATTCAACTATTGTTTGGTAAATACGCATTTACAGGAATCGTATCGATCCTCACTGGAATTAAAAATGCAATATAAATTTTTCGCGTGATTTATGTCCTTCATGCTCTTTGATTTATAGCTAAATTAGGAAGAAACTTGTATTTATTAAAAAAACAACATTTTGGTTACATTTCCTTATGTGAAATGTGTGCAGCTGTTCTGAAACTCTTAAAATTTATTTAATATTTCGGCTCTTCAGTCGAATACGTTTGACAATACACCGTCTGTTTTTGTTCAGCACGGATGCAAGTTATTGAAATGTCGTTCATCGAATCGAGTTCTTTTTTGGTTCATATGAGCAAGTTATTAAAATGGCAATCAAGACGATACGTGATTTGCGAAATATCGGACGTATGTCAATACGAGTGCGATTTAGGTGGATGTGTGATGAAAGAGGGATAATCGGACGTCGTGGCGTCTCCTCTGGCGCCGGCGGTGGCGGCGACGCCAATGCGGCGCCACTTTGGCCAACTAGCACAATTCACATACAAGACAAACATCAATATCTACGTTGGCAGGTATTCAAGCAAAGGCGATTTTACAAATTTTGGCAAATTTTGACTGGGATAATAATACGAACCGAGCAACAGCTGCCACCTCTAATTTACACTCGCGTGAACTGTAACACAAATTATTAGTTTTAATTGCTTATAATAGACATGTAGGAACGTAGCAAGTTCTAATTACGACTCTAAATTTTGTAGCAACAAGTTGTTTTTTTTGTTCATTTTTTGTTAGAAAAACAAATGTCCAGCTTTGTCGTGTCACTGATCAATCGCGTTCTATTTTTTGTGCGATTTGAATTTTTAAAACCCTTTTCGAATCTGATCTGCGTGGGAAAAAAGACGAGTAATGAGTTTGACCTCGCTGGAAAATTCAGAGTAGCATAAGAGTAAGCGCGTGCTTTGTAATAAAATAGTTTAAGAGAGCGATATTATAACTTTGTTCAGTGTCAGTTGAATATCACGTAGTTCGCATTTTTCGTCTGAACGTTCGATTTTTTTCTAGCACTGCTCTATTAAAAACGTGGAAATAATTGCTGCAGTATTTAATTAAAGGATAAAGTGATTTGTTAGTTTGTTAATTCAACTGGCGGTAAAAGATGCGATCGTTTGGTTCCAACAAGTTCTTTAATCATAAGTAATGTTTAACATCCATTAGCCGTTCTTATAAAATAAAGCCATTTGGGGGTTGTTTAAGCCGATATTAATTAGAACGGCCACACCCTATGCGATTAACTATAATACCGCAACATTTTTATTCCAACCATTCTTAATTTTCATTCGACGAGAAATTCAACAAAGTATTTCAACTTCGAAGAAAAAGGGGATTTTACATGCATATTTTGAATAATTTTGCTAAAAGTTCGACGTAATAAATTCCCGCTGATTGGTTTACTCGTCGGATAATGGATCCCGAGAGAAATAACGTCGTTATACATACTGCGTTACAAATTAAAAAACTTCGATAGGTACAACTAACTTTTCAAAGAAATTCATACATTTCTAATTTAACGACATAAAACGCTTCTACTTTATTAGTGCCTACAAGCGTCGCACAAATGATTTATTTATTTTTCCTATACGACATAAAATTGAGTTTTCTATTAACATCACTTTCAGAAAATAGTTATTTTTATAGATTTTTATAGATTCCGTAATAAATGGGTTTACGACATATATCTAAAAGTTTGTTTTATAATATCGTGTGGAAGCGGTATCCACTAAAAAGAATCTCATATTTATGCAAAAAATCCGACGTTCTCTACACTCGGAATGCAAAACAGGATCATCAACGCTCCAAGAAGCGAGTCACGCACGATGGCACAGTTGCCAACTTTATTGATTGCTCTTTGTAAAGAACTGATTCACTGCAATTATAAACAAAATTGTGACCATTCATCGATTTCCTATATTTTCATTTTAATTAAACAAAGCGGGTTAAATTTGAAACTCGGGTACGATCGTTCAAACTCGTCGTTGGTATTCAACGTAACCGGTAGAGGGGGCGAAAACAATAATGACAGGTCAACAGGTGTTACGCTTGTTATTCTTTTCCTAACCTAATTTTTATAATAAAATGAAACACATTCCCGAGGAAACGAAATTAACGACAAGTAAGTTGTAAAAATCGTTATTCATATGCCTGAAATTGAAGTCCTAGAGGATATATTTGTATCTATCGTCTCCGCCTCTGAAAATAACCTCAAACTGCAAAATTTCATCAAGGAGGATAACGAGGAGCCAGTGCAGCTTTGTAAGTTGCATGATTTTTTTACCGGCAACTTTGAACTGAGTAAAATTACGTCTCTGCATCTACAAAATTGTGATATTAGCAATCTTCCTCGCGATGTACAAAAATTAAATTTAAAACAATTGATTTTGAACCATAATAAATTGAAAGAAGTTCCTAGTTGCTTGTATTCAGGACTGGAAATGTTGGAGGTGTTAGATCTCTCGCATAATCTTATCGAAACGTTTGATATAGAACCGGCTTGTAGTCACAATATTGTTAGTCTAAAACTGTCTTATAACAAAATTTATAATTTTCCACACTGGATAATGACTTGTCATTGCCCTAAATTAATTGAAATTGATTACAGTGCTAATTTTCTAAGAAGTGTTAACCTTCCTCACAAATTATCGATTAAAAAACTTCAAATGAACAATTCGCAATTGCTTGATGTAGATTTTGACTTCTTCAAGCGTATAAAAACTTTGGAATATCTTGATGTAGGTAACGTCGTTGATAAGAAATTAGCGAACAACGACAATGAATTTAAAGATATAAACAAATTTTTCGATAAAGTGAAATGGAAAGAACTGAAAGTTTTAAAATTGGATCATTTACTTGTATCTATAATACCGGAAGGACTCTTTTGGATTGTTTCTCTAAGGGAACTTTATTTAACTTATTGCGATTTGAGTTGGATTCCACGAGAGTTTCAATATTTAACAAATTTGAAGATTTTAGATGTGTCCCATAATTCCATTTGCGGAATTCCACAAGAACTGTCGTCTTTACCAAACTTAACAGTCGTCAAAGCACCGTTTAACATTATTTCATCAGTGGCTGATTTTGCAAATGATTTACAAGTTTTAGATTTGTATCATAATCAACTTGAAACGTTTCCAAATTCAATCGAGCAAATTGAATTCATCGATTTGGAACAAAACTATGTCGATATGTCTCTTCATAAGTCGTACGAAACATATGGGAGAAAACTAAATTCTTTTCGACAAATGCTTGATGATGAGAGAACTGAGGGTCCGAAGGCTTTACCAAAAGAGTCTATCATTGAACCTGATTATATTTCATCTGATGGAAGCGTTTGTCAAAATCATGATTTTTATGATGAAGATGTATTAAATGAGCGGTGGGATTATGAAGAATCTGTCAGTGTTGATCGAAACCGAAATCCGGAAATTACGCCTTCTGATGACGAGTGGAATGGGAAGGAAGAAACAATTATCAAAGAAAAAAGGACTGTCAAGCCTTGGATTGATGTCAATGAAGACTGGATATTTTCAGATGTAGAATAATTTCTTAGTTTTTGCTGATGATTGAGTTTTACTTTATTTGTATTAAATGCTTGGAATAAAGTGATTTTATTATTACATTTTTTACAACGTGTTTCATTCCAATAACCCGGTCGCGAAAGAATTTGCAATATTGGTATATAAGCGGTGGCATATTTTGGTTTAGTAAAATATAGTAGGAGGAAATTAAACGTCTGGCGATAGGGCGGAAAGATACTGAAGAAAGAAGGTAATTAAGTGGATTTCTGAAACAACAAGAATAATGGGAACGAAACCAATTATCTGACGCGAGAATTCGAGACATTTCACTTCGATATGTAACGTAATAATTTCAAGGAAAAAGTCTTCACACGACACGGTACGACGAGTGATTTATCGTCGCTGGGATCTTAATTGCAAAGCAGCCCTCAAGCTCAGGTGAATCTCAAAGGACCAATGAAACGGCGAATTCTAGCCATGGCCAAGTGACTAATCTCAGGTGTTTTATTGCCTAGATTCAACTTTACACCTCCATTACGTCAAGACGTAAACATGCCAGGGGCACAAGAAACCACACGGGTTTAATTTTTTTTTTAATTTCCGAATAAGAGACTGTCTGGTCGATTTTTCCGTATCTCAAGTGCACATTTGTTAGCTTAGTTGAATGTAACTGAAAAACTTTCAATTCAATTGCAATTTTCATAATGAAAATTTTGTAATGTTGGTCGGTTTTGATCGTTACATTTAATTCGCATTCGTAAATCTTTACGCAACGTCCCTGTGGCGCAGAGGATAGCGCGTTGGACTTCTAATCCAAAGGTCGTGGGTTCGATCCCCGCCAGGGATGGGCTGCAATGCAGCTTTTTTTTTATTATGCCGAATAAGAATTTATTTTTTTAATTAAATTAACAAACTGAAATAAAAATTGTTTTAATTGTTTCCGTGTTTACTACAAACAATTCTTTCGATGTTTTTGTGTATTTAAGTACTTTCATGAGGGAATTTCGAAACGAATTCTTTACAAAATCACTTCCTCGCTTGATATAACTTATTTATGGTTCAAAATATGCATTAACGTGTGCCCTAGATTTAAAATTTTTCTTTATCATGTTGGTCTTTGATAAGACGAAAAGCAGAATGTCAATTAAATAATAAAGCAATTGTTATAAAGTATAATTTCAATGTATTAGTTATTAGTTTTTTAATTATCTTGTAATAATTATTTGCTAACTGTACCGTTACTATTATTAAAACTTACTATCGAGCTGTATGCTACCACCTAAAAAAGATAATTTTACTAAATATTGAAAACCTATAACACGTTATACATCCTTACTTGACAACTATACTATTATCTAAACCAATTCAATTAAATACAAATATGTAGGTACTATTATTATCAAAGAAAATGCGTCCGTGGAAAATGTAATTTAGCACCTATTTCTCATACACTACCTACATAAAAAAAACATAAATTTGATAATAATGAATAGAGAATGATAAAGAACAAAAAAGACCAAATAAAATATAAAATAGGTAGGTACGATAATTTATAAAAAAAAATACTTACAAATTTATTTTGAAAGTTAGAAACCTAAAATAAATTATATCATAGAAAACTGAAAACAGTTAAAATTGGAAGAGAAAACAAATATCTGTCGAGTTACTGTACTTTTAGAACTTAAATCAATTAAAATACGAGAACTTTGTATTTAAACAATAATAAATAATACCTGGTACCTGCTGCTTTTTGAATAAGAATTTTTCATCTGTAGGCAGCAGCGGCATTTTTGTCTTACAAACGTAAAATATTATAAATTTTTATTCATTAATAACAAAAAATTTAGCAGAAATTTTTTCAGACTGGGAAAACACAATAGCGGCAAGATTTCCTAACATATTAGATCAAAATTCGTGTACCTACTTGGTCTTGCAATAACTTAAATTGTTGACTGGTGAAACATAAAATTGCTAACTTAAAAACAAGAAAATAGTATATTAAGCATCAAGAACGGTAAGCACATTTTACCGATCGAAGACAATTGTTTGGAGGAGAAGCGAAACGGCGACTTCAATTATTTTCTGAGATTGGTTTTATAACGTTCGTGATGCTTTGCGCGATTAATTTCTGTTAATTTTTTTAATAAAATAGCTAACAAATTACTTACCGTTCCAGAACGCCAAAATACTTTGGCGGCGGCTTTGAGTACTTTCATGGTACTTACCAACGAGTTTGTCGTTAGCAAAAATAAACAAAATACTTACTAACGTGTTTGGATTAGAATTCTTTTTTCAAGTGAATTTATATACTAACGTAACAAGAGTACCAAAAGACTCTAAAAATCTTCAATGGTCGCATTTTAGATTTTTAGTCCATCCCAAAACCAAAATACTCAAAGAATATTATTATTCTCATCGTTGATGTTATTACTAGATTTTTTCATAGTTATCTGTTTGTTTTTTTTTTATTATGTATTTTGTTTCATTTGAGAAACAAAAAAATGGACCGCGGACCAGAGATGCAACTTCAGGTGTTGATTTATGATTATACAAATCCAGGATTTTTTCGAGAAAAAAAATTGTAATATGTAGAGCTACATAATTTGCTAAATTAGCTCATTTCTTCGATTGGTGTCGAAAGAACCTATTCTACTTGAGGTCTTTTAATTTCTATATATTTTACATAAAAAAAACCTTTAATTTTGCCACGTTTACAAACAAAACTTCTGTGCACTCATTCTCCGTATACCCACCAGAGATCAAAATCTAATCCGTATCCATTTACCTGGCAGTGTGAACGTCCGGTTCGAGGCTCGCTTCACTTCGGCCTGCCACTAGAGTGTTTGCCTCATGTAAAGTAACATCGGCCATATTGACTTACTCACGCTTGCACTACGCATTACCTCTAAAATCGCGTTAATTTCATCTAAACAGTGCCCAAAAGTGTCCAAGTACAAAAAAGAGTCACTCCCCGTGCATGACCTCGAAAAAAACAACTTGAAATATCTCCAATTCCTTCAATATGTGACGCGAGTGAGCCACTTCTGTGACCTACATCCAGTTTAAAAGCCACACAGAATATGTCCAGTTCGTGTTAAGAGATTACAGTGGCATGTTATTAAACATGTCCAATAAGAAACAGCCTTTTGTAGTGAAACCAGCAGCGGATTCTGCCACTTCTGCACCCCCGAGATATCAGCCGCCGCCGTTACCGCCCACTGGTGCCCAAGGCATCCTCAAACATCATCCGAAAGATGCCAAACTTTACCCCGCACCTAAACTACCCGAAAACGTGAGGCTGCCCCAGCCGGGGAAAAACTACCCCTACTACCCAGAACGCACCACACAAGTGCAGGTTTGTCCCAGAAATTGGTTCGGAAATATCCTAAATCAAATAACTTTCAAAAAGTTGACTTCTCTACAGCACAGTAGAACTAAACATGAAAATAAAACGAACACCACTACCAAAGTAGTTAAAAATTCTCAAATATTTGTATAAGCGGAAATATTTTCACTTTTTAATTAATATAATTAATTAGTTATTCGACAGGTTTCAGGTTTTCGGTATTCTAATGATTTTATTTTTGCTTTCTAATTGCACTATTCTACAGAATCAAAATCCTCTGTTCCGGAAAACATTTCCCATTTTTTCTTATTATTTTAAAAGCGATTTTTCAAAAATTAATGTCTTGAAAAACTGTTAAAAAGTTCAAAAAATTACATGGGCTAGATGACGAAATTGCGAAATTAAAATTTGCATTTTAAGATATGAAAACAGCGCAAACAGACAACTTCCAGGGGCCAATAATAAAATTAGATGAAAAGAAAAACATTAAAAGGATTCCATCGTTGATACAAAGTGCAAGTTTCTGTGGTTCAAGGGAACAAAATTTTGTTTTAACATCGTGGTCCAGGAAGCTTCACTTCCTCGATCACTTTTACTTTTTTAAATCATTTTCAAAATGTTTTTGTAATCTTTTAAAATCTATACTTATTTGTTATTAACAATACATATAGATTGAAAGTGGGACTAGATAGTGCCCGAAGCATGTATCAACTATTTTAAAATATATGTTTTTTAACTCTTGTGAAAAAGTTCAAAAATTGAACTTTTAACACCATAAAAGCTACCTTTAAATGCATTGGAAAGTAAAGCACTTTAAACTGTTTTTTTTTTTTGGATAAGTAATGAAGGGATTGTAGGTGCACCAGCCGCGGCCCTTGGACGAGCCTGGCGTGCCCCAGGTTCAGCACCGGCCAGTTCGCTACGACGACGAGTTTCTCCGCCCCGAGATGTTGAAATTCGTGCGTAAACCCGACGACCCTCGCCTAGCCGACCCCAATCGGCACATGCAGAGCATCCTCGGCGAGCTGCGAGCCCTAAAAGAGGCCAACCAGCGCCTCGCCGACGATAACCAGGAGTTGAGAGATTTGTGCTGTTTCCTCGACGATGACCGCCAGAAAGGACGCAAATTGGCCCGCGAGTGGCAACGGTTCGGCCGTTACACCGCCAGCGTGATGCGTCAGGAAGTCTCCGCTTATCAGAGCAAATTGCGCGAGTTGGACAATAAGCAGCAAGAGTTGATCAAGGATAACTTGGAGCTGAAGGAATTGTGTCTTTATTTGGACGAGGAGAGAGGCGGGAATTCCATGTGTCCAGCGTGCGGAAGCGCCCCCACGGGGAATCTCCGGGATGATGGAGACGGGTCGAGTTCGAGTACTAATGCGGATGAACCGGCGCTGCCCCAGCAGTTTTCCACGGGGGGCAACCCACCGAGGAGGTCGGCCAGTCGAGAGAGGATCCTCCACGAGAATCTCGCGAGACAAAGGAGCACTTTCAACGGTGGGGATAAATCCTGTTGTAATTTTTAGTAATAATCCTCTTCTAGATCAAATTATGCAATACGTTAGGAGTCTCGAACAGAGGGTTAAACAACTAGAAGAAGATAAACGAGCCCTGACTCATAAAATCAATCAAATTGCGACCACAACAGGCGATTCGAGTATCGCAATTCCGCCAGACGCGGGCGTTGGGGTCCTCTCGGGCCGACCGGAGGCCGTCGTTAGAGCCCTCCAGGTTCTCGAAGTACGAGAACAATTAGAGAGGGAAGGACGGATGCCCGAAAGGACGGAAAATATGTCAGATAGCACGTCTCAAGACATGGACGATGGGGAAAAAGCTCTCGTCAGAGAAATGTGTAATGTGAGTAACTTTTTGAACCTCATATGTTTGAAATGTAAGAAAAATATTTCAGGTTGTTTGGCGAAAATTAGAAGAAGGACCCTCCCGAAGATGAGCCTATGCTTGCCGTAATATTTAAGTACAAGAAACGTCTTGCCATTGCGTGACGTCTATATCAGATCCTGCTTATTACAGAGTATTATTTTTATACAATTATTTATTTTATATCACGAATTGTATGTGTGAATCCTGATGTAATGTATGTGGTTTGAAAATTGTTATTTTTGAGAATCTCTTTAAATAAAAAAAATCTTTCTATGATGCGCAGTTTCATAATAGTGCTAATTAGATTGTTTTTTGTATGTAATTTGTAACTCATGGTCGTATATCAAGTTTATGTGTCGGTATGGAAAAGTGGAGAGGTAAGCAAGAATAAGTTAAAATTTCATGTAATAATTTCATTTTTCATTTAAATATAAATCATTCACAAGTTCGAACAAAAGTAAGGTTCTCTGATTTTATTATACACAATATAAACAAAAATAACACGTGTGAAAACAACACTCACTTACTTGAAGAAAAACACACAAATGGAAATGCAGAAATAAAACAATTTTCTTTTAAATAATCTATAAATACCCTTGAAGAAAAGTCATCATCAATAACGATGACGGCGACTGCTTCTCCTGTAGTCATCATATCTCCTTGAAGACCTTTGATGTCTTCTGCCATAGTCCCTCTCGTAGTAGTCACGGTCTCTATCTCTGTGGCGTCTAGACCGATCGTAGTGCGAATCGTAACTAAAAATATTTATACCATAATGAGCACCATACTCTGACTCATACAGGGCCAAAAAGCTATGTCAGTTCCACACCAAGTCACCAACTGGCATATATGGACACCCATCAAACAAATCCATATAATATGCTTAACCAAACCATATAAATTAATACCATGTGCCTGACAAATCACAAAACAACAATTAGGTAAAAAGTCTTGGTGCACTTCGAAAGGAAACAGAAACTCCATCACGAGACAAAGCACAAAACGTGCCCCTTAGACATTGAACCTCAAACCAACAAAGGCTTTGTCTCGTAATCCAACCAAAAGTAAGCTTTACCGTGAATTGCGATCCCGCTTGTCGCCTCCTCCGCCATTTAATTCCGGGCAATCTCTGTAGAAATGCCCGGAATAACCGCACTGATAGCATCTCATATTTGAATTGAAGAATCTCCTCCCTGAACCCCTAGTTCTGGGCCTGGCATGGGTCACCCTTATCCGGCTCCCAGCCACTTCGCTACAATTCCAAAAATAACCCTCGAAAACGGTCACCAACTCACCCTTACATCCCGTCCGTGGCCTTCAAAGCTGCATTAGCTGCCTTTTTGTCTTTGAAAACGGCGAATCCAAAACACGGCGTACTGTTTGTCATCCAGACCTCTTTCAAGTCTCCAAATGGAGCAAAAACTTTCTCCAAATCAGATTTACGCACATCGTCCCCAATATCTGCAATGTGGAGTCTATAGCCATCAGCCTCACTACTTCTGCTCCTAGACCTTGAACGTGACTTGGAATAACTCGAACGGCTCTGTTTGCTCTTATTACTGTTCTTGCTACTATTTGATGTGCTGCGACTTCGACGCTTTTCTGCTTGTTCCGGAGATTGGGACTTTTCCTGATCGTTGTCTCGCATTTTACACAATTTTCACCAATATGAAAATGATAAACAACTGCTAATTGTTTCCGGCGCCTACCTAAAATGGCTGCTCTAACTCCATCTTGCAAAAAACTATTATTTACTCACTCACTGCACTTTCGACTTGACTTTTTTCTTCTCTTCAAACTTTTCTTCTATCGATTTAACACTCTTATTGGGGAATTTTCTGGTTACCGACGCCAAAAACGACGCCACGTGACGTAATTCCTTCTCCAAAACACCGAGTTGATTGTGGCTACCGCCACGCACTTTTACATGAAAATAATACGTTTATCAAACAATTTATTCATCAAGCCTATTCATAACAAAATATTGGTGCCCACTTAAGAAACTTCGTGATTCAAAAATTACTTATAAATATAAAAGTTGTGCATAAGTTGTGGCGCTTTAGCCACAATTTATGTGTGATTGTAGCTACAATCACGCACATTTATATAAAAAGAGTACGTTTATCAAACAATTTACTTGTCAAGCGTATTCATAATTCAGTACTAGTGCTCACTTAGAAAACTTCATAATTTAAAAATTACTTATAAACATAAAAAGTTGTAGAATTTCGACACTTTAGCCACAATTCACGTGAAGGTCGCTCCTTCTCTCTCTAAATCAAGGTTGTTCTATCTCCCTTCTTTTTCGCACTTTTCAAGGTCGTTAGTCAAGGTTAGATCTGTCAAAAGTGTCAAAACTTGTACGCAGTGTAAATAAATTGTTAAATTCTTTAAATGTGCATCATATTCAATTTAAGATCGTGAAATGGGCAATGCAGGTAGCGGTGGTGCGCCCCGTGAGCGTCCCAAGTACGGCGAGACAGTGCCATCGTCCCCTTCCAAAGACGGCCAAGCGTTCGTTTTCGAGAAGAAACCCGACAAATTGCTATTTCAGAGCTCCCAAGAGGACGAAGAGCCGTATTTCACACGCCCCGTGACGGCAGATTTCGACCACCAAAGACCGCGTTCGAACACCGTCTCAGAGGGTACTAAAGTCAACACCAGTGACAAGACTCCAACGGTTTTCCGATGGGAAGGCGGGGGTAAAGACGTGTACGTCAGTGGTACCTTTACGGAATGGAAAACTATTCCTATGGTAAAAAGCCACGGGGATTTCGTGACCATTATTGATCTGCCTGAGGGGGAACACCAGTACAAGTTTTACGTTGATGGGGAGTGGAAAAACGATCCTGGGAATAAGATGGTGGAGGATGAAACCGGCGTTAAAAATAATTTAATCACTGTTAAAAAGTCCGATTTTGAGGTGTTCCAAGCTTTGGATAAAGACAGTGAAAATGTTAATAATGACCCCTCACAGAAAGAATTTTCACAAGAAATACCGGCTAATAAACCATGGGAAAAGGTCACAGGACCTCCTATTTTACCTCCGCATTTACTTCAAGTTATTTTGAATAAGGATACGCCACTTTCGGTATTTTACACCCTCTTATTTGACTGTATAAAAATGTTTATTTTTTTTGCAGTGTGAACCAACTCTCTTACCTGAACCTAACCATGTAATGCTAAACCACCTTTATGCCTTATCAATCAAGGATGGAGTTATGGTACTTAGTGCTACTCATAGATACCGCAAGAAATACGTTACCACACTTTTGTACAAACCGATCTAAGCCATTATTTATGATATTGTTACGCATAATCCTTTTACGTCATTGGGTTTCTTTAAATATGTAAATAAAAGTTGTTTTTAAGTTCAACTTTTCGTTTTATTTCCCTAATGTTGCACCGTGTTTCGATTTAATGTGAGTCACTAATGAAACTTTTTGCGGAAAAGCCATAGGACAATGCTCACAAATGTACGGTTTTTCGTTTGTATGTTGTCTGGTGTGAACTTTAAGCGAGTAAGTGCTTGTGAAGCCTTTGCAGCAATAGACGCACAAGTAAGGCCTTTCCCCAGTATGGCTATGCATGTGTTTTTTCATATCCCTGACTCTTTTCCCACATATTGTGCACATAACTTTACCAATTTCGGGGTCTGTAACAAACTTGTAATAAAATGATGTAATGAAACGCTTACAAACCTGTATGCGTCTTTAGATGTCTTTTATATTCTGCTTTGACTTTAAAAGTTTTTTCACAAATCTCACAAGTAAAAATAATTCCTCTGTGTATCAACATGTGTCCTCTCAAAGATTCCGAATTTTTGAACACTTTCCCACAATGTTTGCATTCAACTGGCGTCTCAAGATGCAATTGCACGTGTCTTTTTAAATTATCAGACCGAACAATCATGCCACAAACGTTGCAAACCCCTGGTGCCACATGTTCAGTGCGTTTATGATTATATAATTTGAATCTTGAAGGAAATGTTTTATCACACAAGTTACATTTACACATTTTCATCACAGCGATAGCCCCTTTAACGGCTTCTTTAATATTGTTAGGGTTTAATTCGTCAAAAGAACAATCAGATTCATTTTCAGACTGGATTGTTTCACTCAATTTTGGTTTAAGCTCTTCGGTTTTGCTAACAGTTTCCGAATTCTTCTCCACTTGTCTGGTAGTCTTCAAACGTTCATTAAGTAAACCTCTTTCCTTGAGTTCCCTATCGCTGTTTATTATAACTTTACGAAAATTGTACAAGGTGTTAACGTTTGAGACGCATTCTTGGCAAATACTTGAGGGATATTCCTTTTCCCTAATGATCTGTTAAAAAATAAAAATAACAGCATTTTGGTTTAAATTAACGAACGAAAAAATACTTGAATGGATGAAATTGCTTCAATTTTTTCTATTAATCCGGAGTTTGAGTAAAGGGGGGTTAAATTTTCGGGCACTCGCAAACATGTTCGGCATACATTTTCCATTTCCTCGCAATTTATCACAAAAAACAAAAACTAATACAATAAGAATGTTGGTAATATTATTATTGTCCTCAAAGAAGTAGACAAGAGAACTACTACAAATAAACTAATGTGTGTTATGCAACCAACAAAACGCGCTCGTACGAAATCCTTGTGGAGCACACCAAAAAGAGTTTTACAAATCTACAGAAAAGACGTTTTGATTAAACCCACTGAAAATTTTATTACTTTTCAGTTAAATGCGGTATTGTTAAGAGTCAACCAGAGAGTAAACATATCATAAATCAGTGGAACCCACTCGGACCGATAAACCAGGGGAAACAGGTCAGTTTTTAACAGGGCCGGATTACTTACTTTCTTTTTGTCTAAAATACTTAAAATATTTTAATAGTTATTGATGTAGTTGTTACTAAAGACAAGTATTTTAAGAAAAACTAGGTGGTTTATAACACGCTATTATTAAATAAGACTGATTTTTTTTATAATAGCTTGGTTAAACTCTACCACTACTTGGCCCTGTTTTGTTCTGATGCTTGCAAATTGCAAAGGAACGTGCCATTTATGGAGGGTTACAAATTCAAGTCATTGTTTGGTTGATCCCTTATAATCTTGTGTCATAAAATTTTTAGTAGGTCTTAGCAAAAGTCTATACTTACATATATTGGAGACGTAGGAAAATAAAATTGCGTTTAATTTTTCAAGTTAGTTTTATTCATTAAATAAGTATTCGTTTCTACACGTTTTAGTAAAAAAGGTATTTACAAAAGTCTTAAAAACAGGAAGACGATTTTTCAATTTGTCGCTGACACAATAATTTACACAAAAATATGGCAAGAAAATAGAAAATCCTTGATACAAGGGTTCATTAATCGTAAAAATCGAGTCTTTTAAATACGGCACTATTATACATATTCCTCGGAAGGCTTGGGCGCATTCGTTAGCCTTAACGAGGATGGCACCCTTCCATTCACAGAGTCAGGTAACTCGGCAATATCTTTAAACACTCCCGCTAGACTTTCAAAATTGGGCCCCCAATTCAACAAGTAATCCCATCCGAGCCCAGTGGTGGACGGCGACCCCGTCGACGGCCTGTACATCGGTCCTTCCAGCTCGTCATCAGAGGCCACCAACGTGCTCATCGACCCTCTGTACGAAGAATCGAACCCGTCGTACGAAGGCAGAGGCAGATTGTTCTTGTTTCCTGTGCTCGAATCGTTCCTTCGCGAATCTGGCTCATTGCTCTTGTACTTATCTCCCGCCAGACTCGCGTTATCGTACTCTATTTCCGAGCACGTGAAACTATCGTTGCCACTTTCATCCGTCGTCGTGGAACTGTGATGAGTTTCAGGGACAGGCGAATGGTGCAGATGGTTCAAGTGGTTGTTGACTCCACCTCGGGGAGCTTCACTCGAGCTGGAAACAGCGTCGAGAGTCGAGACTAGACTCGAAGTCCTCGGCCTCGAATTGAGTCTTTCGATCTCTTCCGCGGTGAGGGAATTTGTGACAGGAGGAGGAGCTGCTGCTTTACGACTACTGGAACTTTGGCCACTCAGCTGTGACATAACGGGACTGTTCAAACTCCTCTCGCTGTTACTATGAAGGACGTCTTTACCTACGCCTCCGGAACTCGACGTGGTAGCCAACAAAGCGCTTTGTAGAGGTTTACCACTGATGTCATGGAGTGTCAAAATTCGAGGCTGTTGGGCACTCATCTCGCTACTAGGACTCAAACGAGCCAATGGAGTACTTTGATGGGGCCTCGAACCTGGACTAGTCACGGGAGGAGCTCTAGGTGGGTATCCCGTGGGATGGTGAGGAGAGTGCCGATGTTGGGCTTGTCCCTGAGCACCAGAAGCGTGTTTATGGTGGTAACCGGCAACTGGGGGCGGAGTCGCTTTATATTTTCGAACGCCCCCCGCCTCCCTATAACCCTTATAATGATAAACAATGTCTATATCGGAAGGTGCAATCGAACTAGCATTTTCCAAATCATAATGTTCGGGAATTTCCGAATTCAAGTCGTTGCCCCCATGATCGTGGTTGTGGTTCGACGTTGGGGGTAAAGGCGGATGGTGCTCCTCTCTCATCGGCAAGTTTTTGCTAACTTCTCGTTCGATAATATCCGGTCTTTGAGGTCGGGTTAGCTCTCCCTGAATGATATCTCGTTCTTTGTACTTTTTCGATAACAATTCGGGGCCTACTAACGAATGGCCACCGATTCCTCTGATAACATCGCCGTTTTCGGAATGATAACCCAAAGAATTATCACCAGAGTGTAAACTACGTCCTAGGATATTATCATTGACGGCATTTAAACCGTTAGTACTCATCATAGTGGCACTTCCGTTCTGTTTGCTGTGTAGGCCCGAAGGACTTCCCGGAGCGCCACCTTTCTCTTTGTGCTGTTTCCTTAATCTAAAAACTACAAACGAAACTAATATGGCCACAAGTAACACCACAAAGAATACGATGACGAGTGTTATTCCGATACTGAGAGGGTCTGTGGTTGCAGCGGCCCCGACACCGATGGGGCCATTGCACTCTTTTGTGACTTTTCCTTTAAAAATAACTTGTTTGAAGATCGAACCTGAACCATTAAAAGGCTGAATTTTGTTATTGATGGTGAAGTTGGTAATGCAACCTTCAAAAGCTTGTGGTACCGATCCCCGAGCGTAATAAAGACTCGTTTGAGCACCTCCCAGTGACAAATATGTGAGATACGGGTCGAGGAAATCATGGACACCTTCCGAATCCAGCTCGTCGCCGATTTTAACACCGTTCAAAAGTATCTCAAGCACTCGACTGTGCGAATGAAGGGTCAAATTATGCCACTGTCCGTCTGTTACTCTCACGTGAGAGTCAGTCATGTTCACACTATTCGATAATTTGCTCATGTAAATGATTTGTCCGTCGATTAATTCTACTGAGGTATATTGTTTATTACTCGTGGCGTAAAACAGCACGCCTTGGCTTTGTACAGTCCGGAACAACAAACTGATACTTTTACTTGACGATTCCTTCGAGTTTTTTTGTTTCCATAAAGTGGAGCCACCGTAAAATATCTCCAAAAGTTGCATTCGTTTGTGTTTTTTCGAGATTGCGAACTCGACGAAAGCCCCATCGCTCAGACTTATCGGTTGGAGGGCCCCCTGGCAATTCGGCGCGATGAGACTATTGCCACAATCGCAACTCACTGCACTCCAGTGGTCTAAACAAGTCCCGTATCCGAGACAAGGATCCGAGGAAATTCCAGTACATGAGCCTCTTCGGATACACGTATTTTGGATTCCATCGGAATGGAGTGGATGACTGAGATTGAGAAGTCGTCCATTGACGGAAACACTGTGCACACAACCGACCAAATCATCAGAATGTATCTGGCCGGGCCTTTCAAGGACCGGATCGGCACTGTTCAAACCACCGATCAATAAAAGTTGGTTGTTGAAGTTTAAAGTCCTAGAAAAACGCCGATTAAAAAAGTTAAAAAAAAAACAGAACAGATGACTTACCCTGCCGGTCCAATATCGTCAGCATAACAAGAGTTGTCGTTAGGACGACATTCTTCGCATACATCACCATGTTCGGTACAAGAAGCGACACTTAATGACACCACTCGGCCATTTCTAGTTGCTATAATTTTATACCAGCTTCCGTCAGCCAAGTTGTTATTTTTGCCTCCAACACTGATGGAAGTAACGGCCGTCCGAGAGCCGCCGAAGGAGAAAACAGCGCGGCCATCCACCAATTCCACAGCTACGAAATCACTCCTTCCGCCGGTTTGCAATCCGTAGTTGTACACCAACAGCGAATTTGGTTTAGTTGTCGAAAAAATGAAAGTTATATCGTTGGTAGCAGCATCCAGTGAGGGGAAAGCCATATATGACAATTCTCCGAACCCGTAGGTGGACTTTTCGCAGTGGCGCCCATACCGACCATCAGTGCAACTACACTTGTAGCCAGGCTTGAGACTGACACAAAGACCGCCGTGGAGGCACGGATTAGGTCTGCAGGAATCGGCGAGAGCCTCGCATTGGTTCCCGCGATACCCCGGACGACACAAACAGAAGAAAGAAGACCCGTCAGGACTCTGACGACAAGAGCCGCCGTTTTGGCACGGATTTTCCGAACAGGCGTCTCCGCGTTCCATTTCACAGTATTTCCCGTCTTTGGAAAGGGGACAAACGCAATGAAAGTTGAAACCTTGTCGACGGCATTGACCCCCGGATTTACACGGGTTTGGTTGGCAGGGATCTTGGCGTTTGTTGCAGCTTTTACCGGCAAAACCGTCTGCACATTGACAATTGAACTCGTGGAGGATCACAGGGGAGGTAAAAACAATATTTTGACTGTCTGTTATTTTCACGTTTTTCTTGACGTTGATATCGGCAGTGCAAATACCGCCATTTTCGCAAGTGTCTTCGTTACATGGAGTGTAACCGATTGAAATTTCGCTAGTTTGGAAGAGACTCGCAATTGATTCGCGTTTTTTTCTTATTTTTTCAATCACGGAATCCTTGTTGTGGTAGTTGAGACCACTTTTTACCGCTAGTGTTAATTCGAGGCCATCGTCGGTGTCGTGTAAGCCGTAGAGTAAAACTGTTTCGCCGGGTGATAGAGACGTTTTGAGGATGTCAAGAAGACCTCTGTAGTTTTGGGCCAGAAATTGTTGACTAGTCAGATTACTAATCTTCATTGTGATGGAATGTTCAACCGTTTCGTTACTAAATGTAACAAATTCGACGGTAACAGTCGAGACAACATCAAAATGCTTGCCGTCATTTCCTGACACAGATAACGAGTAGCCCTGACCTGGAGACACTTTAGAAGCAAAAAGGTTACAACCGGACGGGATCGAAAGAATCCCTGAACTAGCAGGAGCTTGTAAAATTTTGCACTTGTAATCGCCAACGATGTCAGGATCGTTCGGATGAACATCTGCGATTTTTCCAACCGGGAAAACCCCATTAAACGCATAGACCAAGACATGGACCGATCTCGCACTCGAAGGACTATCATTCTGATCTAAAACCTCGATCGTGATCACATGTTGTGACTTCATTTTCGGACTGCCACTGTCTTCAACTTCGACCAAAATTTCCAACTGAGGGATTACCTCTCTGTCGATCATTTTAGTCGTTACGACAACTCCTGAATGTTTATCAATTTTGACATAATCTCGGTGTTTTCCTCCGATCAGTTTGTAAGTGAAAGGAGCACCGTTTGGGGGCAAATCCGGGTCTTTGGCCGAGAGTGTCATGATTTTGGTATTCGGTGGCTCATTCTCTAACACTTTCCCCACAACTCGCGGATCAAAAGTGGGACCGTTGTCGTTGATATCACTGATGTGGATTTTAACAGTCGTGGTACCGGTCTGGGGTGGCAAACCGGTGTCAATTCCTCCGACTACTAGAGAATATTCGGGGATGGTTTCCCGGTCGAGAAGTCGCGCTGTTTCGATTTGACCCGATTGAGGATCAATCTTGAAAGCTTGTTCGATATTACCGCCAATAATTGAGTAACTGAATTGATTGTTTTGGGGCCGAACGTCTTTATCGACGGCTTTAACCGATGTTACTTTGGACCCGACTGGGGCACCTTCGGAAATTTCCACTTCGTACAAAGTTTGGAGGAATTCAGGTGGATCATTACCGTCTTGCACCTCGACGATGACTTGAGCTTCGTCTGTGTCATTCCCCCGAATGCCACCTGCGTTTTTCGCCATGATTGTTAGCACGATTCGACTTTGGGTCTCCCGATCCAAACTCCTGGACACTCTTATAACTCCACTCTCGGAATTTATGTTAAAACCGCGATCGTTGCTTGAACCAACGAAGAGGTAATAGACCTTGCCGTCATCGCCGGCGTCTTGATCCGTTGCTTGCACAGTCCCGATTTGAGTCCCAACTTCCGCTGATTCGGAAACGTCGAAATGAAAGACAGGTTGGATAAATCGGGGGTAGTATTCATTCACCCCATTGATGTGGACTCGGAGTTCCGCTGTGCCAAACATTGGTGAGTCTGGATTACTCGCCACGATGTTGATTGTGTACAAATCGTTCTCCTCATAGTCGAAATTGTATTTGGCAGTTACCCGGCCGGTTTTTTGGTCAATTGCAAACATGTCTTTATCAGGTCCGTCTGATATCGAATATTGAATAATGGCGTTTTTGGGCGAGTCGATATCTGTAGCTTTGACTTGAAAAACGAAACTATTCGGCGGGAGATTCTCAGAGATGTAAGCTTCGTAAGTCGATTGATTGAACGTTGGGGAGTTATCGTTAATGTCTGTGAGGGTGATAGTAAGCATTGCGGTGGTACTCTGAGGTTTAAAACCTAAATCTTCGGCTGTTATGTTGAGGTGGTATTCCTGAACCGTGTCGTAATCTAATGGTTGCAAAATTGTGACAGCGCCGGAATAGGGATCGACGGCAAATTCTTTTCTCTCATTACCTCCGGATATTTTGTAGCGAATCATTCCGTTAGGGCCTTGATCATCATCCGACGCATTAACTGTCAAAATTGTAGAACCCAAAGGTTCATTTTCAGGAACTATGACTTGATAACTCAGTGCGGTAAAAACTGGCATGAATTTATTTTCACCGGTAACGACAAGTGTGACTGTGACTTCGTCATGTTGTGGTGGTACTCCTTTATCGATTGCTCGAACCCTAAGAAGGAACTCTTGTCCAATTTCCGTGACGGGTTTAGTTAACGTAATCCATCCCTTATATTTATCGATTGCAAAATAATCTGAGCCGTTTCCGCCAACAATAACGTAATTAATTTCAGCGTTAACACCAAAATCTTGCTTGTCGCTCGCCGTGACTTTGAGCAATAATTGTCCCTCTTGCGCATCGTCGGGAACCGGTGAGAGATACTCCGATTTATCAAATTTGGGTGCGTTGTTATTGGCATCAACGACGTTGATTGTGACTAGACATTCAGAAGACATAGGTGGTTTGCCATTATCCGTAGCCAAGATCGTGAGCGAATACATGTTCTCCGGCGAAGACTCCATTTGCGTGTATTTGAATCGCAGACTCCTCTTACTGAAGATATCCCCCGAGGCGGGGTCAACCGTGAACAAGTCTGAGGGTTGTTGCAACGAGTAGCTTATGACCGAATTGGGCCCTTGTTTATCTCGATCGGTCGCCGCTACTTGCCCCACAAACACCACATCCCTCTGAAGTTCGGGGAAATTGAAACTGTAGAACGAATGTTCGAATTCGGGTGCATTATCGTTCTGATCTTGAATGGTGATGGTGAGGGGCGTTTCGGCCTTCCACGCCCCATCTACCGCGGCCACTTTTAACAAATATTCGTCTTGCTGCTCGCGGTCCAAGTGGCCCACGACTGTTACATTCCCGCTGATTGGGTCAATCTTGAACTTCTCGCCGGGGTTTTCGGTGAAACTATAAGTCGCGTTTGCGTTATCACCAATGTCCTTATCCGAACTTGTCACTTGGATGACGAAAGACCCGATTTCGGCGTTTTCAGTCACGTTCACGCTGAAGAGACGGCTGAAACGCGGCGGATTGTCGTTTTTGTCGAGAACTGTGACTAAAACGGTAGCCGTGCCCGTCATTTGGGGCACTCCTTGGTCCAGAGCCTCGACTGTGAGCTCGTAAGTGGGGACGTCTTCGCGGTCCAGTCGCGTGTTGGTGTAGATTTCGCCACTTTCAGAATCGATTTCAAAAGTGCCGTCGAAATCGTCGGTTAGTTTATAAGTGACTTGCCCGTTCTCACCGGAGTCCGAATCTTCAGCGGAGACTTTAACGACCAGTTGTGGCGGCGACTCTTCTTCTAAAATGGAAGCGTTGTAGAGATTACTGTTGAAAATAGGGGAATTGTCATTGGCATCAGTAACATTTATCGTCAATTGTAGAACAGTGCGTAGAGGAGGCACGTCTGAATCCTTCGCCTCGATCCAAACTTCATACACCGGAAGCGTTTCATAATCTAATCCCCTTCCGGCGACGTGAACTTCCCCTGTATTTCTATCCATAGTCAGAGCTTCTCCGATATTCCCACCGGCGATCGCATATCTCACATTACTCGCAGTTCCTTTTTTCGGAGACGTTGCCTTAAATCGCGCTACTAACTTCCCTTGTTCCACATTTTCAGCAAGGACGAATCGTGTCTTCGCCGGTGAGGTAAACGAGGGGAAAAGACGATCAGGTCTGAGGAACACTCGTAATTCCGTGCTTGTCTTCCTCGGTTTTTTGCCCCCATCTGAGGCTTCGATTTCAAGACTGAACACTTTCGTGCTCAATTTAGAAAGGTCTTGCCCTGCTTTGATAACTCCAGTTTCCGGATTGATGGTAAAGTTCGCAGCGTGTTCGCCCGCCAACGCGTACGAAATCTTATTGTTGACTCCTATATCGTCATCTGAAGCCCTCGCACCGAAAACAAATTCACCGGATTTTGTCTTGTCGGAAATGTAGACTTCGTATTTGGTTGACGAAAATGAGGGTGAATTGTCGTTTTCGTCGGTTACGGTGATTGTGAGGTTGACGGCAGCTGCTCGGGGCTCAGTTGCGGAGCAATCCTGTGCCATCACAGTAAAATAATACACTTCTGTCTCTTCTCTATCCAGGATCGCAGATGTTGTGATAATGCCCGTATCGTGGTCTATTTTAAACCTGTCAACTTTGTCCCCCAATAGACTGTAACGTATTTTAGCGTTAAGTCCGATATCCTTGTCTGTGGCTGTTGGAGTTACGACCCAGGTTGATAAAGGCGAATTTTCATTAATCGTGGCATGGTAAGATTGTCTTTTGAATTCAGGAGTGTGATCGTTCACGTCTTGCACTATGATCTTCACGGTTCCAGTTCCGGTCAGAGGTGGAGATCCTGGAAAAAAATTGGCGGTTGAACTATTTGTAATGCTGGATAGTTTAATACTAAGAATATCGATTCGGCATTGTGAATTTCAACAGCCGGGTGCTATTTAAAATTCCGAAGCGGTGCCCAGCTCCCACGGCCTCCGCTCATTACTACTTGAATGATAATTGGGTGTTTGAATTGGGATTCGCGTTCATATCAAACGGGCATGAGTGCCGACTTTTAAATGTTTCAGGGAGCTGCACAGTGCGGCCATTCGCAAGTAGAAAAAAAAAACAAATATAAAAACATTAATTTGAATTAAAAATCCAAAAATCAAGAAAACTAAAACATAAATAATTTTTTGCATAGTGATTATGTTGATTTTTCATCACGATTAATCGTATAGAAAGTTATACTTTTTTAAACGATTTCTATAGTTATATTTCTATAGTTATTTCTATAGTTTTCATTAGAGTTCCTATACATATTAGGAAATCTAGGAACTCTAGTTTTCATAGAGTTCGTTACAAAGATCTCGCGATACATTACGATTTGATTTATCAAATTGATATCTTTTTGGTCTTTGGGGTTCTTGGGGTTGTCTCTATGCAAAAAAATGTTGTATACAACTTGTTTTGAAAGACCTTTTTTTAAAAAAATATGACTTTCAAAACTAGTTGTACAAATAATTATTACAAACAAAGAGGTAAAGACTAAAATAGAAAAAAGTATACAAAAAAACGTCTTTTAGAAATAAGCTTTCATTAGAAAAATGTACTAAAAAGTAAAAAAAAATTCCTGACGGAGAAAACCATTTACTTAGATTTAAAAATTAAAAAAAACCTTTAGGACAGTCAACTGAGCAAGATAATTGTGCAGTTAGTCATGCTCCCAAAGTAAATATAAATTTTAAAATCTTAAGGTGTAAGCAAAAGCAAATGTTCTTCTGTGTAAGAAAAAAATATTTTTTACTTTTTATTACATTCTTCTAATAAAAGCTTATTTTTAAAGGTTTTTTTATACAAGGTGTCAATTACAAAACTTGCAATCGTCAATATCTCTAGAACTGAAAAAGTTACTGAGAATCACTTAAAACCGTTTCGGTGGTTCCTAGGGGGCATCAAAATGACATGGTAAGTGGCGCATACAACAGCCTATTTAGTAAAGCCGTTTTTCCAATTATTCAAAAACGAAGACTTTAAATTTATATTTTTTTATTATATTCAAGGGCGGGTGGAGGTGCGTCACTTATTATGTCATTTTGATTCCCCCTAGGAACCACCAAAACGATTTTGAGTGATTCTCAATAACTTTTTCAGTTGAGAGATATTGCCGATTGCAAGTTTTAAAATTAACACAGTGTATTTGTTTTTCTTATTCATAATAAGATTTAGAAAATATCTTAGATGTAAATAGATGTTAAAAACCCGTGGTATGCCCCTACTTGCTTCAATTTAGTTCGATGAGCGACAAGATATCAACGTCAAATATAAATGCAGTTTAATTCCCGGTTTGAATTAAGACGGATGGTGTCCGCTGAGGCGGAGCCTCGAGATGATCGCTGGAACCTGTCTTCTGCCGCCATGTTCCCAGCAGGATAGAGCACAAAACCGGGAGTTTCTTACGCAAAATCTCAATTTGTGCCTCGAAACGAAAAAAAAATGCATTTATAGTTGGTTGGTTGTCGAAACGTCCCCTGGCAATGCACACATTCCGCTGCGCCTCTGACATAACGGTGCTTTATTGCAGGTACATGCTAAATACGGTCCCTATTTATCTATCGCACATCCCATTACACGAGTGCGAGATATGACGACGCGCACTTAGCAATTCCGAGCCGGAGGGCTAACAAGCACATAACTAGGTTTGCACTTTGAAATTCATTCGCGGGTCAGATGGGGTCATCCGTCCTTATATCCAATACAAACACGCGAAGCGCTCTTTCATTTAACCCCGGAAGAAGAAATTTCGGATAAACACCTGTTTTGCGGTGGTTTTGAAAAATCGTGGGAAATTCGACGAATCGAACGATTTTTCCGAAGGAGTTCTAATACAAAAATAGAGTGCTTTGTCTGCTATCAATAATGTAGATGCTAATCGGTGCATCGTGAGAACTTGAATTCGTGACATTTCGTATAAGTGACGGCCGCTGGGGTCCGTGTAGAAAGAAGACCTCCTTTCGAGAAATAAGGTTCGGTTCCGGTTTTCCGGCCACAAACCAAATTGAATTTCTCCTCTCTATCTTTTAAAGATAAAGAAATGTAAATAAAAACTACTAGTGTTCTTTTTTAATTTTAGTTTTCCTTTCTCAAATATTCAGTTCTATTGGACACCTGCATTCGAAAGTATACGATTCCCTAGTCGTGGAATTTTGACGATGCTCTTTTGTCTACAAGCCGGTATCTATGATCTTGTAGTTTAAGACTGACGTTGTTGGCCGTAGGCTAGCGTTGTTGGCCGTAGGCTAGCGTTGTTGCCAGTGTTCCCTCTTCTACAGGTACACTTTCGGTCTTTTCAATCGAAAAAATTTGCACGAGATCAAAAGGTTTGAGAATCAGATAGGGCGGTAGAGAAGACTCGATAAAAACTTTATAAAAGGATACTTGACCCGAGTTCAAATCTATATTAACTTGAGGCAAGTATAACAATACGCGCACTGCACGATCTGTCTTGTCTCCTTTTAATATAATGTTCTTGGTTTATAGATATTACCGATTGAGTCCCTCGATTTCGACCGATATCGCTGCGACCATGGGTCTCGCTTCCTGGTACTAACGTAGCCCCCCGTCGACCGTAATAGTGACAAATTGCAATATTTTATCGACAGATCTAGCCGCCATACTTTACCGTTTTCCTCGTTCATATTCATTATTTAACTATTAGGTTTAACCGACTGTTGTAGTAAATCATTATGATTTATGGGATACTTGTGTCTGCACATTTTAAAAATATCTTGGAGTCTTGAAGAAAAATCAAGATGAGACGAACAAAATCGTTTCAGAAAAATTTCAGCCTGAAATTGAATGCTGAACGGCGCAAAATTATACGTAAAATCTGCGGTTCAAGGATTCATATTACGCAGCCACTGCATTTCTCAAATATTCATTTCTATTATTGGCGACATGTTTTACGACCTGTCTTGTGCCAGTTGCTTTGACCACTGGTGGAACGAAACGGCCGTAGGTCAAAAGTCGTAAAACCATTACCACAAAGGTGTTTAAAGTAACTCAAAATACTAATTGAAAAAGGCACATTTGCTTTTTTTATGAACAAAATTCCATTAAAACGGTTTAAACATTACAATAAATATTTTGACTGACAAACACTTAAAAGTGTCTCAAAATAGTACTTCGAGGTAGACACATTAAAAATTGTACGTAAAAAAATTGAAACTTGCTCTACTCATATGATTTATAATTTTCATTAATTGGCCCAACTAAACAAGATTTTTTTTCTTAAATGAAATACAGCTTGTGTCAGAACTCGCGCCCCAAAGTAAAATTTCAAGTAAGATAAGATATACCAGGAACTTTGAAAAACTATTTCAAAAATTCTATCTGTCAAAAAATTTTAACATTTATTTTATGACATTTGACATTTTTTATGTCTATTTAATGATACTGAATTGGCCCTTGTTTAAATTCGGTAATTTTTACTGATGCGATAAGGGTAATTAAAAGATATAAAATTATAGAAATTAAAATTGTTATTATAGGAAAATTTGAATATTTAGTTAATGATCTTGTTTGTTTTTTAAGTACCGTGTGATCAAAAAAAATAAATTAGAGTAGGCGGTGATTAAAGTCCTTCAGATAGCAATCCTGAGTTTTGACATTAAATGTCAGCGGAAACTTTGCCAAGTTTGCGTTTTATTCCTTTTGAGTGAAATAATGTTCACTTTAGAGTAGAAATTTTTTATTGTTGTAGAAGAGGAAAACGGTGGATGGTCATTTTCACTTTCAGTTTGTGCGAAAAAATTCCAGCCTAGATTCCTAGCCAATGTGTTGCCAACTGTAGAATTTAATCGACGCCTACTCTAATTTTTTTTTATTTGATCGCACGGTATAATTATTTAGTAAAGGTACAAAAATTTTGCCAATAAAAGCCACAAATAACATTAATTTTAGTTACAATTTACTATACAGCTTCCTTGTTTCCTCTTTTAATAGCCTGTAGCAAAATTATTTTTCCAACAGAGATAAATAAAGTCAAAGTGCAAAATTTAAACTCTCATAACTTCGATATTTTTATAGATAGAATTTTTAACATTCTTTCCAAGTTCCTGGTATGTTACCTTAGTTTCTCTGGGACGCGAGTTCTGGCGCACCGTGTACCTAAAGTTCGAAAAAGTTGGTGGAATATGAAAGATTACTGCTTAGTCGTAAATTGGTTTTTTAATCTTTTTTCAAAATAGGTATTTATGTTTTCAATGATTTTTTATATTGTACAAGTCCATACCGGTGTCCATTGCGCCCAAGGAGAGAGTGTATTCCGCTTGCGCTTCTCGATCCAAGGCCCTCAGTAGCGAAATTTCTCCCGTCGAGGCATTTATTTTGAAGGTATCCGGTTTTCCCTCCTTGATGAAGTACCTCACCAGCGAATTCAGCGGCGGCGTGTCAGCATCATACGCTTGCACGGTGATGACATACCCTCCATTGGGCGGAATGGTGTTCTCCATAACATAGGCCAAATAGGGTGAATCCAAAAACGTCGGTGGATTATCGTTGATATCCGACACCGAGATGACAATTTCGGCCGTATCGGCCCTCACCGCCTCCCCTCCGACATCCCCTGCACAATCCTCGGCCCGCACCGTCAACACATATCGCGATTTCCGCTCATAGTTCAGATTTTTGGCCACTCGCACAACACCCGTGTCTTCAGCAATACTAAAATCGCGGTTGGTATCACCGGAATTAATCGAGTACCGCACACGCCCGTTAAGACCGTCATCCACGTCCGTCGCGGACACCTGGAGGACACTGGCGCCGATCGAGGCGTTCTCGGCGATGGAAGCGCTGTACTGCTTCGGGTCGAAGACAGGACTGTTGTCGTTCTCGTCCAGGACCCGGACGAAAATCTTCGTATGGGTAGCCCGAGGAGGGTCCCCGCGGTCGCGAGCCGTTATGGAGAGGGTGTAGTTGTTCTTCGTTTCGCGGTCGATGCGACCGGAAACGCGCAATAAGCCGTCCACGGGACCCAAGGAGAAAGTGCCTGAAGAGGCGGAATCCGGCGATAGGGAGTACTCGATGTAACCGTTGCGTCCCTCGTCTTTGTCGATGGCCTTCACGGCCATCACCACGGTGTTGATGGGGATGTTCTCCGCCACCGAGGTCTCGTTCGGCGTGACGAACTCCGGGGACATGTCGTTCACGTCCTTCAGGATTATTGTCACCTGAAAGTAAAGGACTTGGCTAGTTTTGGGTACTCGAAATAATAGCAAGGGGGAAAATTCATTAACTTAAAATTTGAACAATTCCTATGAAAAATCACCTACAAAAAACAGACAACAAATTTTTACTCTTCTAAAATCATATTTTTTATATTTTTGTTATTAAATTGACGATAAAAGCATTTAAACAATAAAAAAATATTATGTTTTTGGATAATTACACTAAGCGACATGATTGTTCTAACAAGCATAATTTTTGGTAGCAGTCACGTCATTTGATTTATAACGGTAAAAATAAAATACCTCCAACGCGTCACATTTTTAATTAATATTTTTCTTTTGATAAATTTTAACCTAGGGCACTATTATGAAAAATTAAACTAAATTTTATCCATTACTACTGATTTGTAATCGCAAATCAATTTATTTTCGTAAGAAAATGTATCTAAGACAATATTTCCTTAAAGTAAGTGATGCAAAAACCCGATAAGAAATTGTTGTAAGACCTCATATCTGGAAAGTGATCCATAATAAAGTTTTTGTGCAAAAATTAAATACCTACGAATTATGCAACTGATTGAAATTCTTTTAAAAATGTAGTCCACAAATTTCTTGGCAATAATAGAAATGAAAATTATTCTATATTTACCTAAAAACTATTGGAAAATTGTAAAACACTTGGCTGCCGAATGTCTCCAAAAAGTGCATTTTTGAATTCGATTTCTTTCAAAACTTAAAGACTGTAAATGATAAAGAAAAGACTTCTGCAAAAGGATAACTTTACTCCTCATAAAAAAACAAAAACGAAATTCTTGAAAATATTTCTTTGTTCAACTTATTTATCTAGTGTTCCATTTTGTGTAGTTTAGAATTAGACATGGTTTAATACATTTTTTTAGTTTAGTTTACATAGTGAATATGAGTGATTACTTCGACCACTCTTTAAATATAAAAACCAAAATACGATAACAAAAAAAAAACCTTTCGTGATGGAGAATTTTAGTGATCATTTTTAGATTTTCTGAACAAAATTACATAGGATACATGTATTTTTATCAATGTTAAAAGAAAATTAAAACTAGTATTGATGCTATAAAAGGTTCCAACATCAAGAACTAAACTTTTTTGTGTCAATTTTAATAAAAAATAAATTTTTGCTAAAAGTGGTGGTAAGAGAGCTTTCGTTTTTGATTAAATATGAGAAGAAAATTGGAGTGAATCTTCACATATGTGAGGAGAGTGAGGCTGTTAAACACTCGAAATTTCCTCGAAGGAGTCTTAATCAAATAACATGCGGACAGTAACTAAAAGTACGTGCATCTGAAAACTCGTCTGCCGTTTACAATTAAGTCTTTGGTAAACAGCGAGAGGTGCTAGGTCATTAAGTTGGTTGATTTACCCATGATGTAGTGTTTACTGTGTCAACAACGTCGTCAACATGTTAACACCCTTGTATACGTTTTTAACATATCTTTATTTTCGAATAATGATCAGAGTGATTCAGACCGCAAATTTCCATTTTTCCATTTTGTATCTGAAAGGAAATGTGCATAACTAACTACCTGTACCGTCGAGGATAGTCGCTGATCGGGAGGTTTCGCTTGATCAGTCGCCGTTACCACCAAATTGTACAAGCCTTGCCGTTCCCTGTCCAGTTCTTTCTTAGTTATAACGGTTCCATTCTGTGTCATTTCAAAATCGCCGTTTTCGTCCCCCGCCGTAATACTAAAGACGATCTTTCCGTTGTCGCCTGTAAAAAAAAATTGCCGATTATCGTCGAGAATATTGATGTTGTTTAATGAATATTCCGGGTGTTCCGAACGACTCATTATGTTATCTGAAAGACTCAAATACAGCAAATGTAATTGGGAAATTTCTTAATGGTTTTAATCTGACGACATTTATTCGCTGATAGGCGCGCTTTGACCGTTATCTCAATATAAATTTAGCAAAATAAGCTCTGATTCAAAATTTTTAATTAGAAAATTTCACATTTACATATCTTAATCGAATCGACGCGTGATTTTTGTTTGGCTTTTGTAATTCCGCGACCCCGAGGTCGCGACTATTGTCTGCAATGTCGTGTTTATTATTACACTGTGTTGGTTTAAGGCCCTGTAATCTGCGCACCGCGCAACACTCCCTTGTATAGATTGAAAGTTTTTCCTTGAAAAAATCGCAATTTACAAAAGTCTCACCTGAATCCAAATCTGTGGCACTCACAGTGACAATATGAGTTGCAAGTGAGACGTTTTCGAAAATTTCGTTGGTGTAGGACATGGGATCAAAGAGAGGAGTATTGTCGTTGAGGTCCAGGACGTTGCAATAAACCGTCAAAGTGCTGGAAAGGGCCGGATGTCCTGCATCTTGGGCTTGCACCACCAAAATGTAGTGCTGCACCTAAAAAACATTTTTTAAACGATTAATTTGAGCAATTTTGTTTTTTGCTACCGCGTTGTTTATTTTGTTTGATTAAGCAAATAAAAATGATTTCTCGCGACATTTGGTGATTTTATGGGCTCGTTATGGATGAGGCAACGACGGAAGCTGGTCTCGATAAGAATTTTACGAGCCGGTAATTTCAAATTACGTTAATTAGTGCGTTCGTTATTCTTTTAGGGAAATTTATACGATATCATCTGCCGATGACATGCAATTATCTAGTTTGATTTTACCATTTACACGTGTACTATTGCAATTTGTAATGACACTTTTGTTTTAATTGGAAATTGATTGCAAGTAGATTGAAAAAATGAATTTATTAAGAAACAGGTTCTCTTGTTTATCTTGAAATTTTCATAGTTGTATGTACGTAATTATAAAAAGTGAGTTAGTATTTGTATTTTGTCTACTTCTAGTTCTAGATGTATGTCACAATTATCATCCCCGTGACAAAAAACAAGTCGTTTTAGTGGAACCTGTCCTGTTGCAGTTTCTAGTTTTTGTCACCGCATCGGTCGCCATCGTCGAAGAGATTCATTAGCCAAAACAAGAGACCATATGTCTTATCAAATTTATTTATATTAAACGCACCTCCGTTACGATATATCATCTTGCTTTACTTATAAACGTTAAATTAGTTCTGATAATTATGCTCGACAATTACGAGCAAGTGGTTTAGCCCACGCAGCGGCCTCCATGAACTCCGCCATTATTATAGATCACGCTCACTCATAGACAACTATTTCAGATAATATTCAAGTTGTGTAACCTCCAAAACATGGAACATTTCCTTGGTAAAAATTCTTGAAAACTGTAAAAGCTCTCTTTGTGTGGCACTAGCGTTAATTTGTATTCCGGTCTCACTCTGACTTACGGCTGAAACGATTAACGTTTTTCAGCATTAATTAGTTGTTTTTTCGACACCACACACAATTCTAGCTTTGCTACATTGCGACGTATCACAATACGAAATGTTTTATAACTTTGTTTAGCAGTAGATAAAAAGTTTTCCATAAAATATACCATCATCGATTCGGGACGCTTCATGTATACAAGATAATGTGTTGCAATACCACCTTGTTTGAACCGTCTCTTTCTTTAACCTGAACCAGTCAAAGAGGTCCTTAACAACCACAAGCAGAACAAAAAGGCTAACTATTGTCAACACAACGCTGTGGTTATTTTTAACCGAAACGTTGAGCGAAAAAACGCGATTTTAAACCTATGATGAAATGAACCACAATCCACGCTTTGTACGTATGCACGTGTACTGCACAAGATTCCCAATAATAGCGCAAAAACTCATTAAAATAAAACTAGCCTTCGGATTGTTTTAAGCACGTATTTTCAATAAAACACTGAAACGACAATTAGTTGGGTTATTAACGATTGGCTATCCATAAACATTTTGGTAAAAAATTAGTAGTATAGCTTATTTCCACAAATACTTATTTTTTTTAACTAAAAACTTCTGTGATTATCAAATATTTCTTTTCTACCTGTCAATATGTACAAAAATCATCTAAGAGGCAATCAGGATGTTAAAAGAATTGAGAAAAAATGTTGACTTTTGTAAATTTATGTTTTCTGAAAAAAAATTATTAAATAGGTACCTGAAAATGGAAATTGCTATCGTATTAATAGATGAAAACTTCAAGTAAATCATATTTCAACGAAATTTATCCACTTTCTTGATTAGGAAACTTATCTCAAAGTAAGGTTTTTGTATAAATTCACTGTCGTACTTCAACTATAATAATTAGTTTTGCATTCAGAATACTTCACTTTATCGAATGGACAATTTTATTTGATTTTACTGTGTGATGCTTAATATTTTTTTGTTCATATTATAAGCTCACAATTGCAAAATGTTCAGGTTCATTGTCAGCTTTAATTTCAAATAAAAAAAATGTCTTCCTTCAAACACTTTCTCAAATATTTGTATTTAATTGCCACGGCACCAGCCACAGATAAATAAAGGATACTTGAAAGTCAAAAAGTTTTAAAATTTAACTAGCAGACTTTAAATTTACCAAAACAAAAAAACTTTCAAATAAATACACGTTGCAATATGACAAAAAGCTCGTTTTGGAAAAGAAGATTAATCATTTCTAAAAAAAAAAAAAAAATTATGTTTTTACGTATATTTATTTTTCTTACCTTTATAATAAATTACATAAAATACGTTTTACTTTTTTATTGCTACTCTAATTTATTCTTTTCATTTAGTTAACGTCTGTAATTAGCTTATCTTGTAAATTTTTAAATTACAAAAATACTCTTGTTGATAAACTAATAAAGTTGCATTAAGAAATAAACCACAAAAAACGATAAAATAAAAATTTGTGTAGAAAACAAAAGTATGGTCATTTAGGAATTGCAAAATTTACTTTTTTTTATTAACACTATACAGGATGTTAAAAAAAGATTGTAAAATATTTAAGGAGGTAATAGTATGGACTAAAATAAACATAGGTCCTCAAAGTAACGATTAAATATCGAATATGAATATTTTTAAAATTTTTACTAGAAGCTTCTCTTTTTTGTTTAAACAGAATGCAACTAAATATTTTAACAAACGAATAATTTGGTCTTATTACTTTGTAAACCCATGTCAATTAAGACTTTTTGTTTTAGTTCTCCTGAAATATTTTACAATCTTTTTATAACAAAGCATTATTTTTCAAAATTTTATCAAAAGAAAATTACCCAATTTTATCAGTATTTAAATTCCATTTTTCTGCTTTCCCTCGTCCAGCCCCGTTTTCCTAGACTTTTGAACTCAAAAACTAAGGGATATTATTTTATCAAACCTGATTTAAAAAATGCCTCCAAATATTAACCATCATCCTTTTTCATACTCTGTTGTTTTTATGTTTTAATCAAAATAAATCAAAAGTCTTTTAGTGATTTCAACATTAAGTTTAAAGCAAACTTTGCTTACCTCTTCATAGTCCAAGCGCGACGTGAGGGTGAAAACCCCCGTTTGGGGGTTGAGGGAGAACACGTCGTTGGCCCAGTCGCTGATGACTGAATAGGTGAGCTGTGCGTTAATTCCCAAATCGGCGTCGACGGCTTTCACTTGTCCCACTTTATGGCCCCTTTGTGCATTTTCCGGAATGTCGAAGGAGTATGCAGTTTCGAGGAAAGCAGGAGGGTTGTCGTTGGTATCAGTGATCTGAAAGAAATCCTCGCGCTTGAATTGAGATTGAAATGCGGAACTCGTTTTGGGCGAAGGAGGCGTTCTCCACCATTATGCAGTTACCGTGGCTGCAGTTTATCATAGTTGCCACCGCAGATGCAGATCCGACAGATTTCATACTAACTGCGAGGGAGCAACGAACTGTAATTGTCGATGGCATTGCTCGATTATTCTATACTGACGCGATTAATGGCCAAGCTCGCGTGGAAAATATCACAACAACAATTCAAAAGATACTTAGACTAAGTATTACTAACCTGTACAGTGAGAACGGTGTCTGTGTGTTGATTCCCGTCACTTGCCCTCACTGTCAACTTGTAAACATCTTTGGTTTCTCGATCCAAGGAGTCGACCAAAGTTAGAAGTCCGGTGTTTTTGTCCAAGACGAAATGCCCATCGTCTCCACGGATCAAAGAGTATTCTAGGACCCCGATGGTGTCAGGGTCATCGGCCTTAACAGTAGCCACGGACTGGCCAGGCCCCAGGTCTTCCGATATGGAGTAGTATAAAGGAGTATCCTTGAAGGAGGGTGGACTGTCGTTCTTGTCGAGGACTTTGATCTGGATCTGGAACAAGAAACGTAGTTATCATTTGTTGGAAGGAATGAATCTACGTGATTATGTTCAAGATATAAATACTTGATTTTCTTGTTGTACTCATTTTAATTTGATTGCAATCTCTCGCATGGGACTAATTGGTTCTATTGATTTATAATAAGTCAACAAGTGATGGTTTTATTGATTCTCAAAGACAAGTAGAGTTTTACGGAAATGTAAATGGCTCGAGTGTCGGTTAGCTTAACCGCTGATAATTACATTGTTTTTTTAACGGCGGTCGTAAAGATGTAAAGCCAACACAAAAATGATGTTAGCCATCATTTAAATCATCGTTCGCTCCTCAGGAATTACACAATCAAGGCTTTCGAGCCGATGTTTTATTCATGATATCGATAGTTTTGAGCGCATATATTAGGCAAGTCAAACGGCCCAAAAATCGCGCCAGGGGCGCATTCGCCTAATTGCCCGTCCAAATTGGATCTCACAGAAGCCGTCCATCATTCCATAGTGTCTACGTCTCGTCACGCAGCCAAAGAATGGGACTTTCCGAGAAGGCAGCGGACAAGTCCCGAAGTGACGAAAACAAGTATACATTTAGTTAATACTCGGGTCTCTCATTAGTATTCTCCGCGAATTAATCCAAAAACAGAACGGCAAAAGATACCGACAACATTCATCGGCGTACATTCCGACTCAGTTCATTTCAGCCGCTAAACGACGTCAACCAGCACTGCAAATATTTCAAAATCGTACTGAAAAACTGCACAACCGAACAGACGAGACTCATAAACATCCAACGGGGAATGCACACAGGGACGGACTCAACGAGACAACCACACTCAAACGCTTTTACAAAGCTTTTTACATTCAAAGTTTTCGCTAAATTATTACAACATCGACAAAAAGACAAACTAAAAACTTTCTCCGATCTCCATTTTGTCAACAATTAATCACTCTGACAACATGCGATAACACAAACCGATTTGTCTATTCTTTTTTTCGACATCTCACCTATCACGTTACAAGAATTTGAATCCGTTACCGAAATAAATGGTCTTTGCAAATTCTACAATTTTAATCAAGTGTTTGTCAATCAATTGAAAATTTATAACGCTTATTATAAATGTAGGAAGAATTGAGCTCAGTCACGTAACATTACCTACTGTTGTTTTTTTTTAATTTGTTGTAGATGCAGTGGATAAAAATTTATGATAATCACTCCAACTGGTTTGTCCGTATTTAGACTCAATCTGAATATTTCTGATAAAACATATAGATCGATTAACGTTTATGTAAATCAAATTAACTGTGAAAGTAGTTGGGAATGTGTCGTGACGTATGGAAATCGCAGCTTTTGTCTTTCTTGGTCTCATACAGGCGTTCACATTGTCATCAAGTCCTTTTCTTGTCCCATCGTTGCTCAGATACCCAGACAGGTTATACAGGTCAAGGGTACGACTTGTTATGTTGGTATTACAATGCGGCAATGCGATATGTCTGTACCACCATGCAAATAAATAACTCGTCATAATTCACTCCATCAACCGAGCTTTCGGTTTTACTATCGAACTCAGCAATATTTCAGGTGCGTGCATTTTGTTCAAAATCAATGAAATAAAAAACTGTTGAGATTCGTTTGAAAAAAACGGATCGCCGTCTTATATCTAAACGACCTCGCTTACTTAGAATAATTGGCAATAAAGACTAAATTGGGGGTCGATAATTCAACGAGATGGAAGTGGAAATTGGATTTAATAAAAAAAACAACCGGTAGTAAATCTAAAGTAGTCTTTCTTGTACATTCATAAAACCTTCAAAATCGCAGATTAAAATAATGTATTCGATAAACAGATTCCAATAAATATATGATAAGCACTTGATACACGAAATGCTACTTAAAATTGCTCCAGTAGATTATCTCAACAGGCCATACCCAAGGATTCTTTGTGATTACATGCATCATCCGCTCGGGCGTTCGCGATTCTTGCGCGCTGCAAGAATTAATGACTTTTATTTCTCATTTTGGGATGTCAGGCGCATAATGTAACATCGCTTCTTTAACCACTTCCAAATTTTCAAAAAGAAATCTCTCCTCAGCTCCGAATAAGATTGCATGTTTTACTACAGTTCCTGGTTTCACGCCCGAACACTTGATTTTCCCACATTTTGAGAAAAAAAACATTGGTGTTTCAATACTTTTGAATGTAGGTAAGTAGGTAAATTAAACAAATCATTATTTCATAACTTATTTTGTATAACATTTGAATCTTTACATTGAAACAGTGACGACCCTAACAGAAAGTAAGTTTTTCCACCCTAATTTCAAAAACGAAAGTGGCCAACTACCTACGTCTCGGGGAGGTAAAAATTTTAGCTCCCTCATCTGTCAAAATTACAATAAAAATTTGTAATAGGGAAATTGGGATATCAAGAAAAATTGTTAGCCTTGTAATACAAATAACCATTATTCATGTTGCAATGACTAAATTTTCAAAAAACGGCGTGTTAAAAAAATATTGATTATGTTGCCGTTCTTAAAGTCTCAGTAGGTATAGGAAAGAAAAGTACACAACCCAAAAGTCAAACTATACTACTCCAAAAAATTAAATTTTTGTCTGTGCTACGGTTATCACGTAATCCTAAGTTATAAGGCGAGAAAAAAATCTATTTTTTTGTTTTTGCTTTTGGTCCACGGACGTGGGAATTTTTTTTTAGTTAAGTCAATGCATGGGCCGGATAGCCTGTTCATTCATCTTTAATATGCATTTTTCATATTCTCTTTACATCAATTTGTCGGTCAGATATCTGACTTTAGATGAAAAAAGATCCTTTTGTCTTTGATCATCGATGTCTCAGCCATCAATGACCACACAGAGAATATAAGGGTAGTGTAAAAAACTGGAATAAATGTCTTGCAAGATCCTTTTATAACTTTTTGAATTTTTTTTTTCATCCTCAACATTGATTTAAAGAAAAGAGAGAAAAGTTGCTTTTGGGTTGTTTTAGTAAATCTACTGCGTCACTAATGGATGGGGAGACTAATGTTTTTAGGTTTTTTTACAGCTTAATGTACCCCTCATATTCCTGTAAATTTTTACATCGATCCATCAAACGATTTTCTCGGACCGATTGATCAAAGTTTTACAAAAGAATTAAAGGAACAATTGTACATATTGTTTCTGAATATTGTCTAATCTTTGTCAAAATGAGAAAAACAATTTGTTTTCAGCTTTTTTACAATTCTACATGATTGATTAATTAAATTTGGAAAAAAAGGAAATTCGAAAGAATTTCAAAAATTTATTTTTGTTTTTTTTTTCAAAAATTAATCAGTAGTTTCTTGAATTTTTTTTGCAAATATCAAGAAAAAAATTTTGTTTGTTTTTCTCATTTTGACGAAGATTAGACAATATTCAGCGACAATATGTACAATTGTTCCTTTAATTCTTTTGTAAAACTTTGATCAATCGGTCCGAGACATCGGTTTGATGGATCGATTTAAAAATTTACAGGAATATGAGGGGTACATTAAGCTGTAAAAACACCTAAAAACATTAGTCTCCCCATCAATATTAGTGAATACGCAGTAGATTTACTAAAACAACGCAAAAAGTTACTTTTCTCTCTTTCCTTTAAATCAATGTTGAGGATGAAAAAAAAAATTTTTTCAAAAAGTTACAAAAAGATCTTATAAGACATTTATTCCAGTTTTTGACACTACCCTTATATTCTCTGTGTGGTCGTTGATTGCTGAGATATCGATGATCAAAGACAAAAGAAACTTTTTTCATTTAAAGTCAGATATCTCAGCGACAAATTGACGTAAAGAAAATAAGAAAAAAGCACATTAAAGATGAATGAACAGACTATCCGGCCTATTCATTGACTTAACTAAAAAAAAAAAATCCCCATGTCCGTGGACCAAAAGCAAAAACAAAAAAAAATAGATTTTTTTTTTCTCGAGCTATTACTTAGGATTACGTGATAACCGTAGCACAGAAAAAATTTTGCCAAAAGATCTCAAAACTAGAAACTTAAAGCTTCATTTTTTTTAAATTTAGATACGACCATTTTTCGATGAGTTACACCCTTTCAAAAATCACCAAAAAATTTAGGAAAATTTTTTGTTCCTTTAATTTTTTGGAATAGGTAGTGTACTTTATTAAATTAGCACATTTGACCCCACGATATTTTTTTAATATTTTTTTTAAGTGTAATCATTAGTGTCTATAAAACAAAAAAAGTATTCACTGAAATTACTTACTTTATAAAATTTAAAAAAAAACAAGTGTAGAAATGTAATTCGCCCTACTAAATACAGCATATTACTAAAACAACTTAAAACAACTACACATTTTCAATCCTTTGTAAAGATAAAACATTACTTTAAAAAATTATCTGCCACGTAGACACTAACAATTTTTGAAGAAAATATACACTTGCACATAGATATGAGTTATATTCAAAAATAGGACATTAATTTCTTGTCATTGTAAACTACTAAAGCGCCATTTGCTAGACAATACAAAAATTTGTTTAGGTTGTAAAAACTCTTTTTCATATTAATGTGCATCAAGTAAATTGTATAATTATAAATGCATCTTTAATTTAAAGGCCAATTCACACAAATAGTGTCATTAATGTCATTCAGAACAAATTTAATCACATCAATAATGACATAAAATTTTATGTTTGCCACCCTATGTTAATTACGTTGTTAGCTTTAGTTATTTTTTGCTACCTCAAAAACTGGGATACACATTTTTAGAAAGGATTGAAGTCAGGATTGTTTGAATTTTCGCATGGTGGCCAACTTACAATAATCCCTTTCAACGACTATAATATCACTGCATAAGTCTAAAAAATATTTTTCCAATTTGGTTGTGAAATGCAACCATTGTGATATGTCATTTTAGTTATCAAATGTGCTCAATTTTATCACTAGTTATAAAATATGACATTATTTTGGCAATACTGTTAAAAAGTGAGATGATTTTGTATGATTTTGG